TTAAGCTCGGAAAGAGTTTTAACGACACTTCTGATTAGTTACGTGCTTGAATTTAAGAACATGCTGAGTATCTTCCCGAACTGAAGCTCACGTGTTTCTTCTCAAACTCTGCCCTAACAGAGATAACTTAATGTAATTTTTACTCCCTCCAAGTCAAACGCCTGTTTGGTTTGAGAAACATTCAGCTTGGGGAGGTTTCAAATCGCTACACCACAGCAAACCACTACAATTACAACGCATTGCTTCTTGGTCTTCCGTTGTAGCCAAAGGTAAAGCAACACAAAAGCTGAAACGAGCCCTCTTCAGTATTTCTCAAACGTATCCTTTACCAGGACTTCGAAAGATCTACTGTGTTGTCAAAAAATAGTCTTAGTTTAGATGATGGCAGTGCCACTGTACCCTAAAGCATTTGCCTTCAACAGAACTGCTTAAAACATGCAGCGATTGCTAAGTGCAGACATGTGCCACTTCATACTCTCAAATGAACAACTGACTTAATCTGCTTCCATTTCTTCTGTCTCACAAATATTGCATGTATTATGCAATGTAATATGTTTTAAGACTAAAGATTTTCCAAGTATTACTACATAAAGTTGATGTTGGCTTAAGAGCTCAGTAGTATTAAATTCTTCTCTCCCTTTAGTTTAAAGAAAAAAAAATTATAAAAGTGCCTAAAGTAAGAAAAATTAAAACATTTGTATTTCATAAAAAAATATTTCTCCATAAAACTGTTTTGAACAAAACAAAGACATATTTTGTCTAAAATATGTAAAATCCTTGCCCTTTATAAAAGAACTAAAACAGAAAACAAGTGAAACCAGTATCTGCCTTATATATAGCAACTATTGAGTCTTTCAGAATGCATGTTGAGATAATTTTGCCCATAGATTGTCTGAATTCTAGAAAAAGATATCTTTTACCATGCCTATTCCCTTTCAGCAGATTCTAGCTTCCCAGCCTCCATAAAGGACTTTTGTCTAGCCCCTCTTTTTCCCTTCTAATTTTCTTTCACTGTAATTTTCATCGTCTTTCTGTTTTTGCAGTCTTGCTATTTGTACTCACTATTCTTTCCTCCCCCATGTGTCGGTTTAAATATTCCAGTCCCACTGAGATTTTTATTCCAACCTCCTCCCTCATCTTCTTTTATTTCTTAGACTTCTTTTTTTTAACCTGTTGGGGTTTTTTTGCCTCTTTTAAAATAATGTTCAGGGAATTGAGAAACCAAAATGGCTCACATTACCACTGAGGCATCTCTAAATGGCAAATAAATAAGCCCTTTGAATAGTGACATTCATTCCAATTAGATGCCAAAACATTATAACAAACAGCAAGATGAACACATCCATGCTCTTCATGCTACCGTGGAGTGGTCTGCCCTTCTTCCTCACCACAAGTCAGAAAGAACAGAAGAGCTGAGTCGTTCAAGATTTCCAGTCTGTGAAACCCTTGGGAAGAAAATTTAATTTATACCCTTGAAACTCATTTGCAGGAGGAGGAGCGGAGAAATCAAAAATTTTTTTGGGGGTCCAAGTTAACTACCACTTTTCATCAGAGGATTACCTAAAGGCCAAGCAAAGATTGTTCCAGACATTGTACTAGGCACAGCTGCAGTCAGCCCCTGAGTTAGTTACCTCAACAAAAGGAATGTCAAGGAAAGGCATAGCTTCAAAGCAAAATGAGCACAATGATGAGACATAAACATTAATTGCTTGATACTTTTTTAGTGAAGAGAAGGACATGGAAATCACGGGAGACCAGACAGATATGGCAAGAGAGAAGGGGACAAGACAGTCGAGTATGCAATGACGGCAACCATAAAGTCCTGCAAAGCAAAGGTGAACAAGAGTGCTGGAGCACACAGTCCAGTCAGCACAAAACATGGCAATTCCAGGCAAAACTGAAGAGAGGTCGTTTAACTTCAAACCTGTACACACTCTTACTTTGCCTGGCATATCTGGCTGGCCTTCCCTTACAAGCCATATGACAGAAGCAAGACAGACAATTCACAGGTCTCATTTTCCTCTGGACCAGCCTCCCTTCCACAGCAGGTGGTTCTAAGGGTCCTGGGTAAAATATGGTCTCAGCTGGGGTCTAGTTTTCGCTTTTTCTTTCAAAGTAGAGATCTGCTTCTACAGCTCATCTTCTGACTGGACACTGAGAAATACTCTGCCTGGAAGAGACTTATCCATAATTGACAAGAACAAAAGCTAAACAATTATTTCCCTAATGTTCTTCTATCTCCCTCCAAGTCTTAATCATTGTGTAATTCTAATGCCACTTCTGCGACACATCAGGCTGCACAGTCTAGTTCCAGCTTTTAAGCCTCAGCATTTGGTCTGATTTTGGAAAACATCCCCTCCTCAACCTACTACAATTGGTTCGCAGTCATGGTTTGGAAGTAGGTATGCAAACTGTAAACGAGGTGAAAGTAGTACTGACTGGTTTCTAGCTAGCAGAAAATAAACGTACATATCAACAAAGCTTTAAAAAAAAACAAAACAGCTTATGCACTAAGCATGATACCTTTGTCTCCAGGCAAGTCCCCATATCCAGGTTTGCACACATTCTCTAATTAGGACTCAGCAGAGTGATGATAGTGGAACGACTGCACCAGCATTTCAAAGCTAGTAACCTAATTAATTATATCTCCTCCTAAAAACGAATTGTAGATCTCCTTCAACAAAGCTATCCACACAAGACATAATGAATGTTGATGGGATTTAAAAATATTTGAGGAATCATAACAATTTTTTACCGTTTTGCCTACCTAGTTATTGTGTTTAAACCAGAAACATTGATGGCCATTGCTTCTACAGTTTGGCAGTTTGTTAGTCATTTCATTTGCTACAGAGGAAAAGAAATGCCTCTCTGCAGTCTGCCAGAGCCACAAACTACATATGCACGAAGCGTGAAGCCTTGCTTCAAGTTGTGTCAGTGCACTTCCATCTTGGCTCCATCACTCGAATTCCAAACTTCACTTCTATTAGCAGAAGCTGCTAAAAATTAGCAGAGGCGGAGTGATGGCTGAATGAAATATTTGAAAGTATTTTGACCCACAGCTGGTGACTTTTCCTAGGACTTCACCAGGGCTATAAATAAAAGTACCTAACGCAAGACTCTTGGTCTGAAACGCACAGAAATTCAAAACAACAACATAAAATGAACATTAGACTGAAAATAAGTCTGCTTGCCATTCAAAGTAGGTCCTTGGTCTGCCCTAAATGAAGAAGACTCACTTGTAAAAGCAATATATTCAATTTTACTATAAAAATTTTGTAATGCCTTAACACACACCTCTCCCTTGCCTTTGCTATAAATACACAGAGGTCACACTTGGGGCTTCCTTCCATCTTTGAAGCAGCACTAGTGTGGGAGAGGTTGCTGCAGGCAGACCACTGATGGCAAGTTCACTGTTAGAAATGACAGAAATGACAGAAATCCCTTAAAAAAAAATTACAGCCTTCTAGTTCTAAAGAAGGCATAAAACTAAGGAATTATGGAAAATGACGCAGTATCATTTTGATGTACTTTCCATTCCCTGCTTCCCTACATTTTCAGAGTAAGAAAGGCCACTACAACTAATGTTTCAAATGTGAAATGGATGTCCAGTTTTTAAAGAACATGTGAGTGAGCTGGCATAAGAATAAGACGGTGCTAATCTGTGGTGATTTAGTGATTTGAATAAGCATAACTCAACCTCCATATGTTCTTAAAACACTTTGGCTCTGCTTACTCTCTCTTCACTTTCTTAAATTTGCGTGGTCATTGCAATCGCTTCGAAATCATGAGCTTACTGCAAGGTTTACCTTCATTTATAAGGTCCAAAATGAACAGCATGGCTTACAACTCTTGGAACATTTATGGCCTAGAACTTGAGCCACATCTGCAGCACAGTATTTTTCCAACAGAACAATATCATATCTGCCTAATGTGTGTGAGGGCAGTATTACACCCTAAGTCAATTAAGCCAACAAAACTACAGCTATGCCAACAGAAGCTTTGCCCAGCCTGTATCACTCAGGGAGGCAGCATAATTACATTGTCAGAAAAACTTTAGGCAGATATTATTTAGAATAGATAAGACTTGATTCAGATAGTCAATTTCAAAACTATTAACCTTTAAAAGAAATAACTATTTTATCGTTCAGAGTGATTAAGAAAGAAGAGAGGAAAAAGCACATCCTGGAATTTTTCCAAAGCACTTTTTTTGACAATAAGAGCAAGGGAGATGCTGCCCATCCTCCCAATACAAGCAAAGCACCTCAAACATCCAGTTCCAGAAGCCAGCTCAGACACAAGAGACTCCCAAAGGAGTACCCAAACCAAGTGACCAGGTAAAGGACTTGGTTTTTTCTTTTTCTTTTTTTTTAATTTCAGATCCCAGATTACCTGCAGGGATATTCTGGACAGTACGTTGTATGTGGAAGGCACTTCAGTAACTGGCAGCTGCCACAGCAGCAGCAACTTCTATTTTCAGTATTACCTCAAATGTAAAGGCTTAAAATAAAACACATTCAGCTGAAAACAACAGAAACTTTAATACCTTGCTCTCTCATAATGCTTTTTACCCATAAAATTCAGAATATAATACAGTCTTTTTATTCTGTGAATTCCGAGAAAAATGAAGACATAGAACGATTAATTCAGACCCTGGTCAAAGTACTTAATAGAAGAGCTAAAAACTGAGCCTGGGCTTTCTCTTTTCCAGTCTTGTATACTTTTGCTCAGGGAAAAAAAACATATACAAATATCATAATGAAAACCTATTTGTACTATACACATAGAAGCACTGCTATTGCCAGGAAATATGCACTCTGAAATGTCAGTTTACCTATGAACAGGAATGCTTATCAAGTATAAATAACCAAAAGCTTACAGTATATAGAGGATATTCTTTAGAATTAAGCTAATTTTAACACCATACTTAACTCCTCACTACCCATTAAGCCTAGCAGATCATTTTAGACAATACTCAAACGCAGAGTTGCATCAGAGCTTACCTTCTCATGATTTTCTATTAGGATTTCGACGACGATATTCTGAAACTTCAGGTCCATGATGGCTGCTACAGTTTCTTCCTGTGGCCTCATTAAGGTTGGTCCAAATACTACCCCTAGATTGGCCACAGTCATTAGATTCCTCTTGGCATGCTTTGAAACACTTTTTGAAAAGAATTGAAGGAAAAAACAGGAAATAGGTTATGAAAAATTTCCATTACTGTTAGAAACTGCAGTCTACAAATGAAAACACTACATTTCCTTAATCTACGTTTTAGAAGTTTGTTTTGTGCAAAGTTTCTTCAAATAAATTCTTACTGAATTCTGGAAAACAGAAAAGCCATTCTTCCACTGGCAATTTAAAAACAAAAGCAGTCTCTTAGTGAACTTAAATATACAAAACGCACTTAGCCTTGGACCAGGGCAAGTGTGAAACCAACTTAAATTTGCTAACAGATCTCCACTATTCACTTTGCCAGAATTTGCAAAAAGAAAGTATAATGTTCCCTTTCTCATTTCAATCAAACCCTCAACTACTGGCAGGACTGCTAAAGTAAATACTTAGATGGCTTCATTAACGGATTAGATTTCTGCCTTTCCCGCCAAAACATACACAGCATGAGTCAAACGTCTTGTCTGCTTTTGCATGTTCGGTTCGTGGTATTGTGTATGACAGCACCGAGATGGGCTTCAGCTCCAGCCACACTTCACTAAGGCCCTTGGTAGTCAAACAAAAGTAAGGACAAGAGTTCTGACACGGTAGGAAAGCAGGTCATAACACTTACTTTGCTAAATGTTTCACCAAAATATCCAGCATCTCTTTGTTCTTTTCTGGGAGTTTATGGACCAAGAAGTGAACAGCATTAACTCGAGATTCAGGACTCCCACTTTCTACGGGACACAGAAATAAATAACTATCTCGAAAAATAAAAATAAAATCAAATCCGCAGAAACACAAAGCTTCTCCCACCCCTGCATGGAAACATACTGCATGTACTTGGCTTCACCACTTATGTATATCTCCAAACATAGCAATATTGAACATATGCACTTTGTTTTCACAAGTAATCTTGTTGTAGAATTATCAACTTATTTGCTTATTTTGTGAACTCATCTTTGAATCCACCTGCAAAAGGATGTCTTTCTTCATCTATTTTTAAAAACTGCCAGATGCAGTTATTGTTTTGCTGCTTACAAATATACTGCAAGGTGAGGAGCGACGTTAGTGGGTGCCACAGAGTGGAACTGTACTACTTTACATTTTAGCATCATTAACTGATTGTCCTCATCATTAGAATTCAGTTTTGCTGGTACTATGCAGCTAATGACACTGCATTTATGCTACCTTGCATTGGAACCTGCGTAAGACAACGCATGCAGAAGACTCATATGCTCAGAAAGAGAAAATCTAACAACCTCTGAAGACACAGAAGAATAATTATCCAAAAAGCCTACTGAGTGAGACTACTACAAAAAGAGCCCTGAATAACAATGGCATCCTTTTCTAGTATAATGCAGACATAAAATAAAAATAAGCAAAGTGCTTTTTATTTTTATGCGTTGCATGTTGAATTGAATAATTTTGGCCCCTACAGGTTTCACTAGTACACTGATGAAAACAAGAATCTGTAAAAGATGAAAATAATCTCTCTTCCTATTTCTCAAAGTTATATTAAATCACAAAATTACGTCTCAGTAGTGGTTACAATGAAAGAAGCAGAATTATTTCTCTTGTATATAATAATATTTAGCACAAGGTACATAAAGAGAAAAATTCAGTACCTACTCTGAACGCAAGAAGTTTTGACACCAGGACCACTCATCAAGTCCCATTTTACTCTAAGGCAACTTTGATTGTTAAGTGTATTTCATATAAAATACCACCATATTTCTTCAGTGCATACTGCTACAGATTTTTATTTTTTTTTCTTTCCATACTGCTACAGATTTTACAGTTGTTTTTCTTATTCTTTTGCAGTGAACACCCCTGCACAGATTGCAAGGAAAAAGGGTACCAATATGCAAAATGTTTAGCTTCTAGTCAGCTAATCAAAATTCAGACAGCCTGAAAAGCATAAGCCATCTTTAAAGCATGACTATTTTACATATATGTGAAAGCACAAACTCTAATTAAAGAATGGCTAAGCAACTTAATCACAAGACATAGTCAAGGCTTACATAGTTTCAATCTACACTGATACGTACAAAGAAAAGAAAACTGAAAGAACCACCTTTTCATTTTGGCTTCCCCTCACAATAGTTCCAGAGAAAAGGATATTCCTTACTATTCCTGGTGTTGTTGGGGTTTTTTATAGCCAACACAGAAAACAACACTATCTATTTTTAAGTATACCGTAACTCAGATCTCAATGCTGATTAAATTTCCCTTCCCCGCTACGTAGAATCAACCCCTCTACAAAATTGTTTACTGCTTATGAACACTGTATTATTTAAAACATACAACTTCAACTCAATTCCTATATTGAAAAAAGACTATAAAATAGAGAAAGGAAAATAAAGTGAGATACTGCTTGCAAAATTTCATAGGTCAAGAAATTATTTTAACACTTTCCAATGCAAAAGGGCAGACTGACCATGTAGGTAAGTATGTTGAATTTTGTTTAAGCACTTGGCCTCTAAGATGTACGTTGGCAATGAATTTCATGGGCTAATTCTCATTCTGAATTAAGGACCACATGTGAACGCATTCTGCAGTCCTGGAAAGTCATTACGGCACTCTGAAGAAGATAAAGCAATTGTCTCAAAGTTTATTTTAATTTAGCTTTCCACAGTTTGCCAGAAGCGCTACAGGCTGGAAAGGAAATCAGCTAAATATCTGTTTGATACTTTGCCAAAAATTTTCTTACACAGTTTCCCTCCATTCTCTTCCAAAAAAATTCCTTGTATATTAGATACCATACAACTGAACTACAAATGTTGTGTCTTCTCCAAGTCTGTATTTGAACCACCATAGCGTAATCTTGCCTGCTCTTTCCTTTCTTCTACTAATATATGAGGAACGTCCTAGCCAGAGCTAATAAGGCACTGAAAACAAGGGTCAGGCAGCTGTGCTTTAAGGATTCAAATGGGCCCGAATTAGTATATTTTCTTTCACTAAGCTTCATACTCTCTATAAATGGAAGGAAAAAGAAAAAATCACAACCTAAGTAGATGTTTATCGTTATATAATTAAGACAATAAGAATGAATGTTTACAATGTCTACCCAAGAGTTTTTCCATAAAAACAAAAATCGCACTATGCTAAGTCTGTCACAAGTTTATCAATAGATACGTCATATGCAACACATACTAGAACTGAACACTGGTTAAAACGTACATATTTTTAAATCATTTGTTATTTCTTATTCCTATATTTTTACTGGGTTGAAGAATTTTTCTGAAATAGTACTGTAAGAAAAGATTTCTATCTGAACTACAGTCATATATATTTACTGGCAGGAACGATGAATTCTCCATGCAACTCGTATGTCATCAGTGGCTCTGGAAGGCTTCTGCAAAACAAGGACGACATAATAAATTTAGCTATATTATTTTCTATCTGAATTTACTCTAAGCAGGAAACCTTTTTAACATTCACTAGTGCAATCCTTGCACTGAGGTCAACCATTGTTACAGTGGCCCTTGAATTCAGTAATTTCCAGCACAAAGAGAAAACTTGCTAAATACATCCATTCACCTTCTGTGAGCTGAAGTGATGCCTGCAGTCTACTGTAAGGCACCTTTCCGAATTACAACCCCAAGACTGTTTCTCAGATGAAGTTTGTACACATATACTATGTAATTAATTCTTCATTAGTGTTTTTAAAATACAAAGACTCACAAGTCAATGCCTTACTGGAAAGAAATAAAGGTCCTAAACCAGTTAAGTTTACTGAACAGTAGCTATCCACAAATCAAAATTCTAAAGCATTTCAAACGGAAAAATTGAAATTAAAAGCCTTAGTCATCCATGAAAAATGTACTGAATAATGGAAACCAGAGTTAAAACATCAGAGTTAAAACTTTCATTTATTAAATTGACTTTACTGATACTCATTCAATCTAAGAGTAAACACTCAGATGGGAAATACTATAGGCAGGAAACACTTCATCATGGGCACTTTTCTTTTTTCCTTTCCTATTTTTTATTTTATTCTTTCCTACACTCTGTAAGAGAGGCTTTTGATAATGTTCTTCAGCATTCTTTCGTAATTGCAGTGATGCTTTATTTAATAAAAACAGCAGGCTGAAAATATTGTACTTGTGTTACACTACGAGAGATACACAGAAGTTCTACGTTATATGTTCTTAGGCAATTTAGTAAGATATCTTGATCAGGAATTGGCCAAGCCATTTGAACAGAGAACACATCTAAAATTCTTACTTTTAATACTCAAAATAGTATTACTATCACACCTAGAACATCAGAGCATGGGCCATAAGAAAAAGAGCAAAATATTAGAAATTTCATAACCTTTTCCGTTTTCATTCTACCACATTAAAACACAAAAAAAAACCCTCTTTTAACGATCTTAACTGACTTTCAGTAATGACTCTTAGCAAGTTTACTAATAATTCAGGTTTCTGAACCATCACTGAAATGCTTATGTATCTAACACAAAAACGTTTTGGTATTTTTCTCATATGAGTATTAGTGTTGCTAAATTATTTTGCTTCCCCCAAGACAAAAAGTAAACATGGTATTTGCACAAAATGAACCTCTGTTCCAAAATATAGGACAAGTAAGTAAAGTAGTCGAACACCCTGCGTAGAAAGATTACAATACAGAATTCAGAGTCTAAAAAATAAATAAACAAATGAGAGACAGACAGGCTTACCGCAGATATTGCTTCATAGCACTAGTAATTGTCTTCACTTCCCAATCTACAGAGTTTTCCAGGTCAACTTCATTGCAGGTTTTTGCATCTAGAAAATAATTAGAAACAAAGAGGGACATAAAAAAAGGGAATTCTAAATCAGTATGCCCTACGTGAACAGCAATCCATTGAATTTGATCATTACGTGTTTGCTCACATGAACACAGACGTAATATGTCCTTCTTACTATTAGCTAGTACTAAGACTTAATATCCAAGCCTCTTTATAAATTCTATTTCCATATTTTGTTTTTAAAAGTATTTACTGCAGATTTTTTCTTTAATGAAGGATTAAAAATCACTTTCATGTAAAAAGATCTCTACAGCAGTTGATATTTTCACACCTTTAATTAAACAGAAATATGTACAAAAACAGTTTAGAAAAAAGACCTGCTAAGCATAACTTCTCCTTTCTTTTTTTCCTTTGTCATTTAAAATCCAAGCAGACTGACAAATCTTTTTGAATTCTTTCCATAGTTTTGCTTGTAAACTGTTACTTTGGACTGCTGATGAAAATAGCCAACAAAGTGCAGCATGACCCTCCTCACTGTGTGAAAACCTTTAAGAGGTACTTCAAAGGTAGAAAAAGGACTCTTCTGTATCAGTAAGTTTCCTCTACAAGACAGTCTGAATGTTTCCTTTACTTGATCAGTTTTAGCCAAAGGGAAAAAATATTTGCTTGCTTGACCATTTGTCAGGTTCACAGAATCCCTCCCATCTTTCCCCAGGTTAGTTGGTAGAGTCTTATAACAAGACAGATCAAATGGAACGGTCGTAGGTCTGAATGACCCATCTGGTGAAAGATTTTTTGACAGAACGCAGAAAACACCACAACACACTGAATGTTTTGCAATCAGAAAAACTCTTTTGGCCTCAATACAGAAAGTGATAGTGGACACAGGAAGAGCACATGTATATGGCCAAACTAACCCACTGTATTTGGTAACTTCAAGTGTTTGAGCCTCTTAATTCTACTGCTATATGCTTCCATCAGTCACCACAGAAAACTACAGCAGTAGCTGATACAGATTACATGTTGACCAGTTCATACAATTCAGAATTCATTTGTTGCTTTGCTTTTCAGACAAATGACAGACGCATTTTAAAAATCAAATTAGGATCCCTGATAAAAGGTGCAGTCCTTTTACTGGGACTAAATAATTCTGTTCTAAAGGCTGTGCCAAGCAATTATTTCTGTAACTGAATATTCTCCCTCATTATATCAATTATTTAAATCTCATTTTAAAATAGAAGTCAGATAACATTTTCTACCAAATTGTTACTAGCCAACCCAAACCATTCAAAATCGTCTCAGGGAAAAGTTTATTTTTTTCCTCTTTTTAGCATGCTAGCTGTCTCTGTGTTCAAATTCTCTTTTTTGAGAAGAAAACCTTGCTACTGAATTAATTAAATAAAAACTGCCATCACATCAGAAACTAGTGAAATCTATGGGGATTTTGTTACTAAAACCACTATGAAATATCCAGGTTTTAAATAACTTCTTCATAATCATCAACCTCCTCTACAGTCAAAGGATGCGCTCAGTTATGTGAAATTTGTTGATGAGTTTGGGAACGAAAATAACAAGCATCTGAATTCCAAAGCAAGCCTCTTAAAATAAAAAATAGAAGATATTGATGAAATATTTCATTATCTCTTGGGGGAAAAAAAAAAAACAACAACAACAAAATTCGTCCCTGCTACCGACTCCAAACAATCCCTGGTTTGACTGTAGAAGCCATCAGGACTTAAAAACATTATTTTCACTTTTGGCTTGACAGTTGTCCTACATAGCTGTATGCCCCACCACCCTATATACTTGACTGTCCCCACTCCATTTTTCCCTGTACTTCAAACATCCCCGGTCATTGTATGAACTGCAACTTCAACTGGGATTTCAAAAATTACTAGTTTTCATGCCACTTGTTCACATAGCAGCCACTGTGCACCAAATGGCAACTTTACGCATATAAAAATAACTGTGCACATTTATGGAGCAGCTTTTGACAGACCAGCTCTAAATTTTATGCAAATCTTTCTGACAATAAGAGAGCTAGAGTTCATAAAAACAGTCCACTTAACTAGGCTAGCAGGAGACTCTGCTTTCATATGCAATATACCCACTGTAGGAGTGCATGCATACTGTCATTTACTGTATATAAAATATGAAGAAATTCAGTGTAATTGTTTTGAAAAGCTGCTAGTTTTGAAAAGGCAGAGCTACCTGAAACTCTTCTTCTACAACATGTAATGTCTGGCATTTTTCATGCCAGGCAGTATCAGAAATCAAAACTGAACTCATCAGTAGAACTCCAAGTCCTTAGCAGTCATTTCACCATGAGCAAGGGTCTGTATGAAAGCTGACCTACATAGTAGTTTGTATGAAATCTATGTAGACAGCTTGTATGAAATGAGCCACATCAGATCCGTAACGTAGATCATAGATGAAACAGGAATTGGTTCTTTACATGTTTCAAGAACTGAGCCTCGTGATGGCTGACAACGACTCCGAATTGCTTATAACAGGTTCCCATAACATTGGAAGTCCTGACTCTGTATCCCTGCTACAATGATATATCAGATTAATTTAACATTTTCCCTTGAAACGTAATGAGTGTTTTCCTTACCAAACGCCTCGCTTAAATTTAGACATTATTGCTGCAAAATAGATCACCATAGCACAATGCGAGTTACTAGTAACTTCAAGGACTAAGTTAATTGCAAAATTAACTCTTTTTTTTCAAAACCAGAATTGTATATTTAACTGCTGAGCCTCATTCTACAGAAGATTTAGTTTCACTAGATTTTTACATTAAAGGTGAAAATCTGTACATTCATTGTATTAGAAAAGCATATATTGGTCTTCTCATACTCTCTTGACTCTCGGTGTACTTTCCCAAATTTTATAGAACAGATTCTGTAAAAGAGACAGAACTACATGCTATTATGTCTCTGGTTACCATTTGGAAGACTTTTTTTGGACTTTGAGACTTTCAGACTGTGAACCCCATGGTCAATGACAGGTAGCTTAAAATACTTTGAAATCTTATCAAACATTTTAAAATACAGAAAGTTAATATGAGGTCTTTATGATTCTGAAAAGATCTTTCATATAAAAGGGTATCTAAGAGTACACACCCAGAGACAAAGGATTAAAGATTAATCAGTCATTTTAAATTCTCTATACCACTGTAAATCAAAAAGAAGCCCTCTTTATTCTTCTCTGAAGACAGACAGATAAAGAACACAGATAGGATCACTTTCAACAAATCATCAGAAGAGCACCTGCTTGCACCCTAACTTTTTTCTGTTCACTGTTTTGCCTTGTCTTGATACCACTGTATTCTTCCTGTTTCAAATAAATATATGAATCTTGGGAATGACAAAAAATGTTTCTAATTTTAAAAAAAACTAAAAGCAGATGTTGGAATCCCCAGTAAACTCTTCCAGCTGCTACTGAACCACTGGCAACCTGAGTCTATTTAATTTGGATACCACTAATGGCAAAGAGGAAAATTTGCCTGCCAGACCTGCACACTCAAGCTAAGCCAGTAAGTATAAAACTGGAAAACATCTTATGACATCAAATGCATTTAATCAAGACTGTCTGAGTGATAACACGTCATTCTTCCTATGGTCAATGGTTAAATATGGTTATTGTTTATTGAGGGTAACTCCAACACAGATAAACAACCATGGGAATCTGTTACAGATCAGTCATTTTTATTAATCCCAGTTCGTATTTCCAAAAAGAGTCTGTTGCTACAGTACTTTAAAGATACAGGCAGGTTTATGTGCACTAATGGAGAACTTCAGGGTGCTGTTAATATTGATTAAAGTAAGATATCGTAAGTTAATATTTAGCAAGGTCATTATGACAGATTGATATGACATGCAGGTCCTCAAGCCTGATGTCTTATCATTTCTGAAGAGACAGCCTGTTTGCAAAAATAAAGGAAGGAAAAGAAAAAGTCTTACAGGTGGCACTGAACTGACAGCAGCATATAATATAAAAGCGCTTTGTCATTCACATAATGTCTGGGGTAATGAAATGAATTCACTTTCTGGCTTCCTCCAGTTTGCAGTGCCAAAGAACACTGTGTTATCAGCACAGATGGAGCATGCATGGTTCTGGAGAAGAGCCTGGTGCAAACTGCAAACAAGCTTCTTTGCATACCAATGAATCCCTGAGAATCAGACCTTTGCTGTCAAGTGACAGGTTTGGAAGCTCTGTAAAAACGAACTAATCCCAATGGTCTTGTCTGACTGCATGTACTGTCAGTGCTCAGGACAAGAAATGGGGAAACACGGCACATCTTGCAGTCATGGCTACTACTTTGGTGAGAGATATCAGGCAGATGAGGGATTTCATCCAGGTGCCAATACTTTTTTTTTTTTTTTTACTCTAGGGACAGCAGAATGGCAAGAGAACGACAGTCACTGGGATTAAAGATGCATCAAAATTTGCAGAAAGAGAAGAGGGAAAAAAGTTCCTGAGAATAATTTTATGAATCAAAAAATCTTAAAAGCTACACATGGCTAACTAGGTATAAGGGAGTCTAAGATGTTACCCGCATATGAGAGCTATACTACTAAGTTTATAAAAACAAATCCTTTCTCCATCTGCCTCCCGCCTTGGCACACAGTTATTATTAATACGTATATCATATTCCTCCTCTTAAACCGAAGAGCTCTTTGCCAGCAGGCTTAAACTAAATGCTTTATTTTGCACAGCGATTAACTAAAGACATGCATGGGCGAATAAACTTGTACATCCTAGACAAGGGAGAAGAGTGGTGGAAACTTCAAACAATGAAGCCATAAACTTCAAACTTTCTTGAATTTGATATTTTGAATTTTCTGACCAAACTCTTCAATTTAGGCTGTTTTAATCCCACTTATATCAACCTTGCACAAAGCCTATGAGTTGCTTCTACATGTCCCATAGCAGTTCTCTTAGTTTATTCCTAACAACTCATCTTGGTCTTGCCAAACCAGGGGAAATTACAATGATATGGGGTTTATCTGCGTGGACTAAAGCAAACCAGATTTGGCCCACATAAAGAACAACTACAGGCAGATGCTTTTAAAACTGAATATTGACAGTAAAACAACATGAAATAAAAAACTGAAAAAAATATTGTAAAATAGAGGCATACCCATCAACAAACTCAGAAGTCTCTGGACCTTTGAACTCACCCCCACGACTCTGTACAATCCTTGGTCATTTATACCTATTAACGCAAAAGGAAAAAAAAAAAGAAAAATTAAGGCCTAAGATCAACCACAGTCAAATTTAGCATTAAAACTTTTCCCTAAGCAACACATTCTCCTCAAAGACAGACTACATAGAATTAACACAGCTATGAGAATAATACTATAAATAAAGTATTGCAAGAATCCTTTTGTTCTTCTGTGTTCTTAAGGTAAGTTCACGTTATGTTTTGATAAAGGTTTCATATACCTCAATTCCACTTCAGAAATTGGGAGGAAAAGCAAGCAGGGACAAACCTTTGCTTGAAAAACAAAAAAAATATCACTGGCTGTTTTCAGATTTTTTAAATGACATTTTGGATACATCAGCACCCACATTTTAATAACGCAAGAACTAAACCAACAAATGCTAAATTAAGATTTCTTTAATAAATGTAATTTTGCTTTTTTCCAAATATGTGGCTGACAAAAAGCATTTGGATGAAATAAAGAAAAACTCGAGCCTATTCCCAGTCCTCAAAACCAATGCTTTTTCAAGTTTGTAAAAGCTTTTCCTTTAAGATACAAGGCCTCATTCCAACCCACTGTGGTCCACATACAATTACGTCCAGAGGCACCACCGCAGGTTACTGAAATCGATGCTTCTGCTTTTGCTTGGGATGAATAGAGTAGCCTTAACTGCCATAATATTTACAGTCCCCTGCTCTCATTTCACGTGGACCACTTTCCTGTCATTCCTCGGTGCCCTTCCATCCTCTCTCACACGTTCACTCCTCTACTCCTTTTCTTCCCCTGCTTTTGCCTTCCTTCACCACACCCAGTTTTATCCCCAAGGAAGCAAAACTATCAATATAAATTGAAGGAAAATGGCAGGGAGAGAAGGGGCAAGGAAGGAAAGGGCAAAATAAGGTATGTCTCTGTCTACTGCATTGTTTCAGAGCCCATATAGAGGGAAGTAAAACATACTGTCCTGAAGCTGACAGAGGTGTTTGAGAGGCCCCATAATAAGCAGCCATCTACAAACACAACTAAACTCTACATCTAATATTCACATTGGCCTGGAAGAGTAGAAATGCCACAAAATACCTGTGCTTCTATTCCAAGGAAATCTTTTCAAATAACAGATTATGTGGTATTCTTATTCAAAATATCCTTCAACAAAGGAAGACTTGTTGAGAATTCCCAGTTACAATACAAAATCCTTCCAACCCAGAGAAGGAAAATTAAAACCAGTCATATGAGTAGAAGCTCCTTCCCAAATAAATATTAGATGAAGTATGTAAAAATCATTAGCCTTTTAACGAATTACTGTCAGACAACCATAACACACAGCAATAATTTTTAATATGAGGGAAAGAACTTTGCATTTTCGCCCTCCTCCTGCCTAGCCTTTCTACATCTTTTCCTCCTTCTGTCATCCCTTCCTCTTCCTCACACAGTCTGCAGCCTCCTCAGCCATCCCAGATCTTTGAGAGCCTAAAAAAAAATGTCTCGGTAGGGAGCTGACGGGCTACGGGCAGCAGCTGCTACTTCTCTTGGTTGCTCCACGTGGGCAAAACTGGCCCTTTTCTTTCCCTGGGATGCAGGCACCACTGTAATGACGCCAAGTCTTAAGCTACATGTCATGTTCAGAGCTGGCTCAAATTAGCAGAACAAGCCAGATCTCTGGTATTTCATCTGTGGTCACCAAAAGACACAAATGATAGAGTATGCTCACGGTTTAGCTGCGCGCAAAAGAAATGACCACAAGAAACAACTATGTGGTCACAGTACTATTCTTCTCAAAATAGTAAGTTATCAACACAACCAAATAACTTTTCCAATGATCCCCAGAACAGCAGCATGATAGCATGCTATACACCACTTAAAGACTGCCAACACTAGAAAAACACCCAACAAATGCATAGTCTTTGATTCACTCCAAACAAGGATGCACTAGGAATCTGTCCTGAGAGCAGCAATTATTTTTAACTTCAAATTTCTCAGAGGTGTCCAGGAAAATTCTGGTGCAAAAGTAACACCAAGCTTTTTAATGCTCTGCCAAAACGCATCACACTTTTTTTTTATACAATGTCCTCCACTACTTTTAGTACCACAGAACAAGCCTTCTGCATTGTATGCAAGAAGCTAAACGGCTCAAGAAATACTGTCACAGTCAAGTACAGCTCAGCTTTTGCCTATCTCAGAAATTGTTTCATGACTTCCTGTGCTTCTAATGTTAAAACTAAGGGGAACCAAACTGTGCTGACCCCAAACATACATTCAAGGGCTTAAAAATTATTAAGGTCAAACCACAGAAACTACTGCTGAACGTTAAAACAAACATAATATCTGAAATTATATTCTTTAATTATTAATTCTTTCAAATTAATATTCAAGTTCAAAAGTCTCTGAAATTGTGGCAGTATTGAAACTAAGACAATCCTCCAGCAAGAATCAAGTCTGTAATTGCAGTTATCAGATAACTGAACAGTTTCAGTTTCATCAACCTGAAAAAAGCACCGCTAATTGCTAGCAGATATCAGGAAGCACAAAGAGATATTAATATTTCAACATAGTTTTAAGTGATACCCTTAAAAATACCTTTAAATGATGTTTTATTTCAAATACACAAACCTGGTTTGAAACAATACTATTTCTGACTTAATGGGCACGTTTCAGATCTTCCGCACACTCAAGACTGATAGCGCTTGGCGTTCACAGAACACAATTGACAAGATGACTCACTGCAAGGAATAGCTTACCACTGACTGAAATGTTGAAGGCTTCAGACGCTGCGTCTGCCGGCTCAACCAGCCACTACTGGCAACTTTGAGCAGCAAAGCCCCGCAGCATAATTTCCTTCATATTTACATTATCTCGAGTTGTTTGGCTGTCTGATACTGGAATTTGGCATAGGTATGCAATTTTTGAAAACACACTTAGAAAAATAAGGTATTGCAAGTACAACGGTAATTTATACTATTGTAAGCAAGGTATGTGGGCAAGTTTACTTTGTGGCTGACACTCTGCTCGTGGCTGACACTGACTAGTAGTACAGCTGCAAACAGAACTTTTTATATCAAACTCCATAGTACGGAAACAGTCACACAAGTGACGCTCTGGATTCAAGGTAATGCCAGATTTTTTTTGTTAACATGAAAAAAAGGTTTTCTACTTCCTCCTCACCATCTTCTTTCTGCCTCCCGAGCAGACGGACTGGACAGACAGCTCAATGCTGCCATCTCTCTCTGCAGCTCAGATTAGCAGCTCCTGTAGTTCTAAAATCAAGACAAACACCTACCACATCCTCACAGAAGGTACAACCAACTACTTGCACACAAAAACAGAGCCTTTACTACCAGAGCGAACAGCTCACTGATGTTTCTACAAGCTTTTACCTCATTGTATTATTCTCAGTACAGAATTATAAATAAAATACTCCAAAGAGAATCCCAAAATGTCCTCTCAGACAAAACCCGGGTGCACGTCCAACCAGCATCGTGCTCAGTATGTGAGACAGGCTGCATATTTTGATGCTTCAGCATCTCCTACCAGGTAAAGCACAGCCCAAGTGTTAGAAGGCAATGGTGAATCAGAAGCTTGCATGCATTTTAACCAAGACACTGCATTTGATTCTTCTATTCATTCAGAGCAAATAATTTCCTTCTGGGCTTTATAGAAGAGAACGTAACTGAGAAAAAATTATCCAGCCATTGACAAGTTTATGTTCAATATCTCCGTTATGCTCTTCCCTCTCTGAATACCAGACTTTCTGCTATGACATGACAAGACTATTCTCAGTTTCCACCCACACTAGACCGTCCTCTCTCTCCACCCACGCCAACCTCACACCCATTATGATTAAAAGAGATAAAAACATGGCACGCAGGCACAGTCTCTGAAGAGGCATCTGTCCTGTTTTCTTCTGCTGAACATAACTTGCCTTTGATGTGTGATCATTAAAGTAAAATAATAAAGTAAAAAATGTTTTAAGAACAAGTATAGGTATAAAATCTGCAGCCTGAAAGATGGATTTTCTTCATCATACAATTATTTGGCCAAACCCTTCTGAGGCAAATGAATGTTCTCCTGACCCTCCATTTGTTTAGCTCGGCAGACATCAGCAGAAGGTCCTGCAGAAAACAGAAACTTTAGCAATCCTTTAGGATTGCTTCAGCTTGTCTCATGGATGAAGTCAGGATTTTATTTGTTAAGACTTTTTTTTTTTTTTAAGCGCAGTTGATCTTAAATTCAGAATTGGTAAACAGAAAATCATCAACTGGTTGAAATGCAATGGACAAACCAAGTTCATTGAAACAGAGCTACGTGCATTGCTGAGTTCCTAGAAGATAGTACCTCACCTAAACCCATTCTTGAAGCCCTGGGAAAATAACTATTTATTGAATATTGATCTCTTTTTTTCTTAAGCACTCCCCAAAACAAAATTAATAGCTAAAAGTAATTTTCATTGGTAGTAATTACCACCAAGCACTCCATTGACTGCAGGTCTTGCAAAGCAGCCTGTGTACAAAGGCTAGTGAAATTGCGAGGTCTCCAAAAACAGGAACTACTGCAGCTAACTTTGGTAACTTTAATTCTCTTCCAGGCATGCTTCAGGGCAGATTCCACTATGGGGACGCATGCTTCTAACCCATGCAAGCTTACCATCTGTCTTGAGCAACAATATTAGGTGGGGTTACACGTATACTTTGCTCCTTCTTACATGTCCCTAAATCAAGGCACAAAGGACAGAGTGGACTTGAACCATCGCTCAGTTTAACCTATCCACCCACAGCCATGAGAAGAAACCCCATATCTAACTCATTTGTAAAAACAGCCACTTCATGAAGAAAGTGTTCACGCTTTTTCCAGTTACGTTCTTGTTTCACCTTCTTTGCAGGGTAACAAAGAAAGGAAAAAAAAAAAAGACTACTTGAAGAAAACTATTTGAATACGCCCATAGATAATAAACCAAAATCTAGTGTACTCCACACTGCTTACAGTAAGCACGATTCATAAGATGTTGTAAGGTAACCAGTCACTGTGCTGTAGACCAAAACCAGCCTCTCATTACGGGACCACACGCTACCCTTTCCATAAAATCTGCCCCATCCAGTGCAAAGAGAAGATCCGGTCTGAATCAAAGCAGGGTTTTGCAGTGAAGGCAACTTATCTGTAGGATGCCAGCTTTATCTGCACTGTTTCCCAGCTGAAATATTCAGATTGTAAAGGCCAGTAACTGAAATTTTAAAATGATGAGACAGGCAAACTTTATTTGAAAAATATTCAAAGGAACAGAATGAACAAAAATAACAGCAGATAGAATATGGTCTAATCTGGAACAACATCTTTAATGCATCAGACAGGACTGATAAAAAAAATTCCAAGAGAAAAAGGATTTCAGATACTTCCTGCTGTTTAAATGCTCAATTCTCAGTATCACAGAGACTGCTCGGTCTTACTAATAATATTGTATAGTCAGTGCATACATGGAAGACACTGCTTTTAAGTAAGACCCTGATTGACAGGAAGCGTAACCAACCCATTCTTCTGTTCCGCTACCTTATTTAAGCTGGACTGTGACACAAAGATATAAATATTCTGCCCTACACAATGCTAAATCTTTAGAAAAAGAAGATACAATTCCTGAAAAACCATAAATCTCTTTGGCAGTGGGAAGGAAGGCCAACAATTTAGGAGAAAAACATAAATCACACAGAGAAATTTCAACACCTCTTAAACTAAGAAATACACCATTATCAATTACTTATTTACACCTCTTAAACTCTTTTTTTTTTAAAACAAAAGCAAAAACAAACACAACCAAACAAGAAGGTTCCCCACACGATACCATATACACAACGCAGTGAGCCTCAGAGTGGCTGGTCACCTCACATTTCAGCATGTCCGTACAAGGATTATTGTCTCCTCACATGGCAGCAATATCAAAAGCTGATATTATCCAGTGCCCAAGTTACACAGGGTCTGTGACACAGAGCCTCTCCATAATCATAATCCAAACCACCCCTTGAATACTGTCTGCATACTGACCTTTCTCTTCTGTATCCAATTTTGAAGGTACAACAATGAGTATATGCAACAGCAAGTTCGACAGCATCGTTGCCTCTGGTGTGAGGCTAACTCCATCAGAAGTGCTTCAATACTTTTTGTTATTCGCTGCCTTGCTCAGTTCCTGTTGTTCTGTCTTAAGTGACTGAACAGAAAACCTCCATTCAAAGTCCACAAATGGAATATTAAAAATAATTAGTCTGTTCCAACAGCAAAGCAAAGGTAGAGGAATCACCTACAAGACGCAGGTTTTTTTCTCAGCTGTTGCACACAAACATTGGCTTCCTTTGTCAAGAGAGGTGCTACTACCCTCTTCCGAGAACTTCCTGAAAACACATTTCTTGAGGGACAGCCATACATAAAAGGCTGGGACTGGACAGAACTAAGCTCTTGCCCTGGTCAGTGTTATCAGTGCAATATCTACTAGGTTATATCTTCCCCAGAGATCTACAGAAGACTAGATCGTACAGGCCTTCGAAGAGCAGATCAGCTGCTCCTTCCCCTCCACAGATAGGTTGGGTTGATCATTACCTCGTGTTTCAATGGCACTGATGCACTTTTTGATGACGGTGAACCCTATCTTATCCAATTGTGCACCTACAAGGAAAAAAAGTTTGAAAAATTTTAAAGCAGCATTACAATTATGTCTTTCACTGAAAAGTAAGGCTGGACTTAATTACCTAGCTAGTACTTCTCAGGCAAAACTGTAAATATTCCGGAATGGGAATACTTCATCACTTTTTCTAGAGAAACTCCTCTTTTCTCCTTCATGACTCTGCATAGCCCAAGTAAAGGCTCATTCACTGAATCTGTTCACAGCAGCAGTCTTTCAAGAACGGGATCTCTGATTAGGTACATATGTTGGCAGATGCAAAACGGAGCTTAACAATACTTACTGCAACATCAACAACATCTGAGAGAGTTAACCAAACAGGACAAGGAAGTACTTATGATGAAAAAACATAATCATCAACAGCAGGGATTTTACTGTGTCCTACCCTAAGCCAAAGGAATTCCCGCACTAAAGAAACGGGACACATGTATATCATTTTACAGCAGTTAACGATCTGACTAGATAAAAGCCAATGCATTAACTGGACAACAGCTGAGCTTCAGCATTCCTTTGTTGTCCCTATCTTATTCTTTTTCTTCACATCAAAACTTCATTTAAAAGCTTATAATGCAAAACTGCCTTTCCCCCAAACATCTGGCCTTCTTGCTCATGGGGACCCGGTCTTGCACGGTGGATAAAAATCTGTGGGAAAACGTCTATTGGTAACACCAAAATCCAGTGCTAACCAGCAAAAAAAAAAAAAAAAAGAGTATAAATTGCCTGACAATGCAAGAAGGATAACTGTTTTCACTCATATACTCAACAGAAGCAAGCTGATGTCACTCAAAGAAAGCCATGTCTTCTACTTCCATGTTATGGTTTACATTTTAAATACATGCATTCAGGTTTTTTACTAACCTTTATGTTCAGCTGTGATTGCTTTTAAAACCATATTTACGCATTCTAACTGAGTTGTACAGACAATCTGGATTAAGAAACTGTGATGCATTTACATACAAATTAACCCTTTTTTGAGTCAATTTCAAGCATGAAGTAAATTGGCAAAAACAATCAGACTGTTTCCCTAGCTTATGTCCAGCCCTACAATTCTTACGTAGGTACTAAACTGAGTTACCGTGAAAACTCATTAATTGCAAAGTCCACAAACGTATATTCAGAACTCAAAAATTAAAAATAAAATATTTAATTGCGTTGGATCCGCAGGAAAAAAAAAAAAATAGCTTTGCCTTTCTGAATTGTAAGATGTTAACAAAAATCAGCTTTACAGTAATTTGAATACTTACTTCCCTCTCGTTTTGCATTCGCTCTATTCAAATTGATGAACAGCTAACACAAAAAGAGTAAAAAGACATAAATTACTTTAAAGATTTTTATGAAACCAGAAACAAGACATCCTCAATCTTAATGCCCAGTAGGCACAAACACAGTTGTTTAAAGCCTGAACATACAACCTCTAACTATAACAGCTCTAACAGTAGGACCAGAGCTCTGTGCCCCCTCAGAAAGCAGATACTTGCACTTTTTAAGGAGTGAATTTTTTAAAAAATTCTCAACAAATACATTTCCTTGGGGAGCAGAACACCGTTAGTTATAGCCACTGAAATGAACTGTGATTTACGTGTTCCACATTCCTATGTTTCTCTGCAAGTTAATTTCCCACAGTTCAAGTTCACTCAAATCATTGTGAACTGCTTTGATGAATTCTGAGAATTATGTCCCAGCTCAGCATTCCCAGAAGTTGTATGCTTACTGGGCAGTCCAGCTCGGACAACGCTTCCACAGATAAAACAAGATTTTTATGACAACAAAGTCAATAAAATCTACTGCTAAAATCCTCAGTAGCCAACTACTGAGGACAGACATACGATTGTGCCATTGACTAGAAAACCCCATTATTTTTGGCCCACAAGACCAACATAATATTTATGATTGTAAGAATAATCTGCAGTGTGTTTCAATTCTGCAGTTCAGACCCATTTCCTGAGGTAAACTAGAAATTAAACAAATCCAAGTACAGTCTTGTTCCCATTGATATGGATTTTTCTTTATCTAGTTTAAAAAAAAAAATAATAATATCATATAACTCACTCATACAAGTCTTGCCACTGGAATGCAGCATGTCAGCATAAGGCTAAGTGGACATGCTTATGTTAGACATTTTCTAGAATACTAATATCATCGTTGTGATGGGAAACCATTTGTAAAAATCGATGCCGTCACTACAATGAAAAATACCTCGTATCAGCATTAACAGTTATCTATGCTGAGCTTTGGCGAGTTACTCATCTCTTCTGAGTTTTATTTCACTTTTATTCTTTCTTCACCGAATCTATCATTTTGCAAACCACATAATCCTAGTTTATTAAAGTATAAATGGGATCAGGAAGCAAGGGGTGAGAGAATTTCTCCATTACGCTATAAATGAAGACTAAAAAGTGTCCCTTACAGCTTCTTTTCCATCCAAGGCTTCCATCCACAGCTTCCTGTCCTCCTCAGAAAACGCCTGCATGGTCACAGGAACTCCAGGCCTGCAAAAGTACCAACCACACAGAGTAACTGCATTCATCAGCAACTAAAACACTGCCTTGTCAAATTCTACTTCCAACTACAAGCAAAAGCCCATTGTCCTGAAAGTCAGGGTTGGTTTTGTTTTCTTAATTAATGAACACTGCTCATCTTTAAAAGAAAAGGTATAGAACTGATACATGCAGTAGGAAATAGTGAATGTAACCTGCAAACTCCTTATTTGAAATAGTTCATTGTTGATAGCTTGTTGATTGCAACACTTGCTGGGAGTTACTGAGTTTTGTGAATTTTAAATAAACTTACTCTTGCATTGCTGTGCTATCACATAAAAAATGGCTTTTCTCAACTTATTTGATATATAGTCTTCAACTTAAGAGCAGCGACAATGATTACAGTTTTCCGGTAAATACCTTATTGAAAATAATCAAGTCTTAATGAAGTATCTCATTACAAAACTCCACTATTGTAACCTTCCAAAAAGGCAAGGATGGACAACTGTGGGACGTAGGCATTAGTGAATCCACTCTTCTGCTTATATATTAGGAAACTAAACAGAGCAATCATGTGGTTCACCATAGCATACAAAGCAGAGAGTTAAAGGCAGAACAGGTTATTTGAGTAATTATTTTTCTGTCAATTAAATAATAAAAAAAAAAATCATTGTATTCGGCCTGCCAATATTTCTGGCAAATTTGTAGATCCCACCATACAGAGAAAGAACGAAATAGAGAATTAATTCATAACATTCTCTCCCTCTCTCTTTTGTATTAAATCTATCTTCAAGTAGTAAAATAGCTGTAGGGGAAAATGTTATCTAAAAACAACAGCCCAGAGAAAACCAGCACAAATCCCACTTTTACTGAAAACTGTAACAGTCTACACATATTTTTACAACCAGAGACATTTCTAGTTCATTTTCACCTTGTCAAAAATGTTATCAAACCACACAAATTAATTGCAGTGTAAAACTCTATAGGTCCAAATATCTCCTGCTCGAAATCTCTTTTCAGGCAACATGTGAGGACAAGGCACGCACACACCCTCTGGCAATCCAATCTAAACTCGGGACACCCAGCTGTAACTTCGGAAAATGTCAGCAATCGAGCAAGTCATTCTCTTTCAATGAGCTAAAGTGAGGAGACTATGAAGCCATAAAAATGGAATCTCTTACTATTTTCAGTGATAGACATTGAGCTCTTGGAGTGGGTGAGGGAAGCTTTGCCTTAATTTCTGCTGCTAATAGCCTTTATGACTAAAATAAGACAGTATTGGTATTAGTAATAACAGTAAGCAAAGCAGCTTCTCAAGCTGTACCAGCTTTTTTCAATGCAAACTGGTCTGCTAGTGGTGCAGAGCTGCAAGCACCAGCAACATGCAAACTTAATCACTCAGTAGAAAAAAAACATCCCATGTAACTAGCTAAATTAACAACAACAAAAAAAAGCCACATGCTTTTGGTTTTTTTCTTGTCTGCTTTCTTTTCCTAGTTAAAACTAAAACCAAATCAGTTACTTTTATGCAGGGCAAACTTTCCTTCTTTTCACTAAAATTATAACTGTCAAGGTATCAAAGAGTATCACCTAGAGGCAACACATCAAACTCAGTGTATGCTGCATGAGATATTATTTGTCTTCAAATTTCAGTTGAGACAAAGCCTTCCCTCCTCCTTGTCCTGTATGGGTAAAATTAAAATCTAAGTAGTATTTCAGAAGGATGATGTTCTTTATCAATAGAAAGTCTTTTTTCCTACCCCAAAAGATCTCTGCTGTCTTTTTAAGATTTAAATTTCTCTACATTTACCACTAGTTCTCTCCAACTAAACATGATGGAGTATTAGAAACAGAAAAAACATCACTTTACAGAATTTAGCCAGGATCCTAGCACCGTCAGAGCTTATAGTCATAACTATCAGAATTTAAAGAAAAAGAATCATCTCGGCTTTCTTTTTAAAAGAAAAATTTGTAAATATTCCGCTAGTTCCAAACTACACTCAAGTCACACACAAGGCTAAACGTTTGCTACTGCAAAGTCCTTCCTACTGTCCTTCCACAGTACAGGAACAAAGAAAACCCCATGGCCAGCTGTCAATCTGTACGTTATTTTTTTAACTTGGAGAAGCTGAGGGATAAGTGTGCCCTGAACTGATACCAAGGAAACAAGCTAATGGCCTGCAGCACAGAACTAATCTCCATGGGAACATCTCGGTACTATACACATATATTATTAAAAGAAAAATGTCTGATATCAAGGTCACAGTGGACGAGTTGTCTCTATTATATCTGGACAGAAAGATGAATTAGATTTTTCCCACTTTTCCCAGAAAAGAGAACGGAAGATTGTTTTGCAGCATCAAGGAAACACTGTTCTCCATCCATCTCTGTTTAACTCCAGATACCCTACTGAGCAGAGATGACACACAGAGGGGGGTAGACTGACATTTCTCACGGTACCTTTTTTGCTACTTTATCAGACTCAGTTTGAAATCTGTTATTCATAGTGACCAACACACTGATCCAAGAAGAGCTGATGTCAAGACCTTAAATCGCTACTCCCTCTCTCCTACTGTCGAGACACAGTGTTAGAAGAGTTAAGCCACATCCTCCTCAAACAAAAAAATGCAAGTTCAAACCATGCTGTGGACTCATGACAAATGCCACCTGAGCTGTAAAAGGGCATCTTGCCACCTGCCACATGAGCTGGAACTTTTCAGATGCAGCAGTAGTTTTGCATTCCTTTACCCACTGCTTGTTACTGAAAGGGGCATGCCTCAGGCAGGCCAGTCTGACCCGCCAGGAAAACTAGGCATAGCCTCTGACCTAAGCCTGTGTACCTGTTCCTTATCACAGACATATCTGCAGAACACTAGCAATCACTGGGCAGAAGGGCCTGGCATCATCAACCACACTGCATTTAAAAGGAAGAGCAACATGAATCTGAGGAGGCGGGAACAAAACAAAACTGATAAAACTTGAAGACTTACTACATGATAAATCAGAATGTAACTAATAAGCAACAAGCAACAAACAGCTAAGAAGAGGTGGATGCAAAAACTCAGCAACAGTCCACTAATTTAAATCTAGTATATAATGCTAGATACGGTGCTGTTCTGCACAGACACAATCTTCACCAAAAGAAAGTGGCATTACCACAGCCGTATTTATTTGCAGTATCCTATTATGCTGGATTCTCTCACCTTCATAAACAAAGGAAGACTACAATGCTGATGAAAAGAAACATTTATCATATTTTAAGATCCTTTTAGTGAAATAAATAAGCAATTCCTCTCTTTTGAAATAAAGCAACAAAACGATGGTGTTTCAAAAAGGTAGTGTCAACAATATTGAAGGTGCACTGGATGATTACATCAGCCAGAAAAAGCCTTAAAATCCCAATGATCTTATTTTCAATCTGAGAATCCTGCATAAACCCTCAGCAACACATCATTTTGGAAAGCAGGCTTATGATAAAATATGGTCATGACTGTATGAATGAATTATCACCGAGATTGCAATCTTTCACTATAGCTATCTGTACTTCAGTTTAAGCCACGTTTCTTCACTACGATAATAGTAATTTGTAATAGTTTCTCTAACTTTTTCTATGCTATTCTCTTTTACGTAGGCTTAGACAATGTCTACATTTCAGTTTAGATCCTCATAGCTTCTGCTACGCAGAGCTGAGGTAAAATCCAGTGAGCCATGGCAGTGCTTGCCTGCTCCTCCAGTGACTATGGGAACATTGGCAGCCTGAACCAGCATTGAAAACTAAGAAAACACAACAGCAATATTGCAGTAATATTAATTACTACTTATAAAGAGTCCTTTCTAGTGTGTTTCACGAGCTTACCTGTCTGAAGCTTCTAAGTCAAAACAGAATCGCCTGTCTATAGTATCTATATTTCTTTTGGTACAGTACGTCAGGACAAAGAGTTCCTCATCACCCTGTGAAAAGAAAGTTTTATATGCTTACCCAGTAATTGAAAGCTTCAGTAAGCCAGCTATACAAACTAGGTAAGGTAAATTTACATTAAAATAATGACAAAAGCTATACTGAAAACTGACACTTGTGAAAGAATTCGCTCATGGTTGCCATTCAGGTCTCTGTTCAACAGCACATACATTCCATGATCATTTAGGGGACATAAATGCAATATTGAGTCCATTTTAGCTGGTACTTTACAGCATGACAGAGTATCACAGCTATTAAAGTAACAAAAATATTTTGCTGTAAAGATGCACATGTTACAATATAAGCATACAATGAGCCTGAGAGACCTCCCATTTATGTCAGGCAGCTATTTCCTTAGTAAAGGCTATTGCTACAGTAACTAGAACAAAGTAAGTGTTCTTTAGCTCTCTGTAATCTGTTTTACAAAATTAGTCCTTTCTTCAAGACAACCAACACCAGGATCGTATTTTACCCTTAAGTATTCAGAAATCAAATAAATTCATTTGTGAATGCTGCATGAGTTGTACTGGATTTAATCAGAATCAACCGCACATTTTAATTATTTCTTGTCTTATTCGGCATCTCCAGACACAGGAGGTTGTCACTGAAGGAGTAACTGCATTGTGGGTTTCAAAATGGGAGATCTTTTACAGCAAAAATGACTTCATAAGTGTTTTAGAATGCCTAATGCTTACACACATACTATATTAACTAAAGTGGCTTATTACAATTAGAGTAAATCAGAATAAAAAAATTACTAGAAGTACTGAAATTATTAAAGAAGTCAAATGCCACTCGTTTTCAGTATGGCAGGTTTTCCAGATCTTTTGAAAGATTCTTCCAAATTCAATATATTTATAAATACGCACAGCCCTCAAAATGATGAAAGCCATCTCCCCTCTGCTCAAATTAATGGGATATAACATCCTGATAAAATTCCAACAACGTGATTTTCTAACCAAATTTGAAGATAGGGCAGGGTGCTGCGTTTACAGGAATATCGACTCAAGCATTATTTTCCAGCTTCACATATCCTTTTTCTTTGCAACAAAACACATTTCATCCATATTAATGCATCCATTCAATGCGTCATCTCTGAAGGTGCTGAGTGCCCTCAATTCCCAACTATTTCAATAGGAATTAAAGCCATTTAAAGATCAACAGTCTTGGGTCTTGAATATTTCAGCTGCTATCAAAGATATCTGAAATTACATTCAGTTGTCAGTACAAATTATTTTCTTATCAAAATCCTCTTTTCTTTTCTCTCTTCTAGTACTTACATCCCTGAAACACAAATCTGACTGGAGTATGCAAGAAAGAAATTTCTAATTCTATTATATTTTCATGATTTATACCTCAACAAGTTAAATGCCTCATGGATAAACCAGATTCAAAATAGTGAAACACTCACTACATGCTATCTGTACCATGGTCTCTGGTCTCCTAAAAGGAAGTGTTTGAAAAGTCTGCAGAATTCTTATCTATTAATCGACCCATTACCTTAGGTTAACGTCCTTAAATGGCAGACTGAATTGCATGAAGAAAAAAGAAAAAAAAACAAGGCAAGGAGGTAAAGTACTTGACACATCTTATCTCACACATCCTCTGAGCTTGATACAGGGTAAATGTAAGAATAGAATATAAAAATACACTTACAAGTTTCCCTCCTGATCTGTGTTCAAATGGAATCATGGTGAACTTCTTTGTCTCTTTCCTGTACGTGCAATAGTGCTTCACCCAACTGGAACCAAAGGGAGCCGGCCCTACAGAAAACGGAGACATTAAATAGTATGTACTTCTTCCAGTTTGTGTGTTTTCTTCTCCTGCTTTCCAAAATTATACTTCAGAGTCTTATTTAATTCCTAATAATGCAGTATTTAAAACAGAGGTATGAATTAAGAACATTATACCAAATAATACAAATGTTAACCAGTGATTCCTGTTCTAAAAACTAATATATATAGTTGGAATTTTATAATAATAATATGATTATGAATTTTTTTAAATATTACTTTGCGGTCATTCCTTGAGTGGTAAGAGCTCTGCATCTTATTCAGCTTTTTTACTAGAGTAAGAAAGATGTATAATTGTTCAAAGTATTGACAGGATATGACTTGTGTGATATGCACCTTCACAGCAAAATTTTCAGTGCTAGCTATCTAGCATATAGCCTGCTGTATTTGACCCACGATCGCAATTAGGTAATGAAAGCACGTCACTGAACCAAGGAAATGACAATTTTTGGAGGCTAATTTGACGACTCAAGTTGTTGTCTGACAACAAATGTTTGACAGTTCTACAGGAGGTCATTAGTAAGGGATTAAAAATAACATGAAATACATCCTTTGGCCAAATAAGACTTCCCCAAACTCAGTCACCTTTGCTAAGAACTGTCACATTTTCAGCACCATGCTCTTCTTATGAGCCACAGTAACGCTGCTGTTAGAGACTTTGAACATTTAATCAGATGGCTCTGTTTAATAAACGGTAAATTATTTGAGTCTTCATATTACCTGAAGAAATAAGACTGTATGCACAATATGGGCACTATAGGAACACAAAAATACACCTTACTTTTTTCCTGTACATAGAGGTAGCCTTCCATCGTGAAGTGATTTGCTCTTTTATGTTCCTGAGGATTTCTTCTGATCTTGTTCATGAGCTCCTCTACCTCTGACCTTGTTCCTTCAAAACGATTTCGTGTCTAAAATGAGAGCAACAACCCATTAGTAGAGAAAGTGGAAAAGAAACTTACTCTCCATGGCAGACAGGAGTTATAATAATTATTTATAAAATGAGAGAATGATTCAGGCCATTTTAGGATGGCCAGTGCACAATTTCCATATACGTTTACTCTTCAAGTTTTCTGATATTCTTCAAAATTAAAGTGTGATTTAGATATCTGCTGTTGTAAGCGTGGAAAGCACACAAAGATTGCCAGAGTACATCTCTAAAACAATGCATTGTCAGAAAGTGGTGAAATACTGTGTGCAAAATGACTTTGGATTTGAATATTCAAGTTTCCTTGGAAAAATATCACTACAGATGTTGGCTTAATTCATGAAATTCTTACTAGTTGTCAGCAAGGAGAGGAGTTTCTGCAGTTAGTGAGAGAAAAGTGACAGGAAGGTCACCAACAACGTATGCACATTGAGATCATACACATGGCAAATGTTTTGATCACATAGAAGCATGGGAAAAAAAAACAAAACACAACAAAACAAACAACAAAACACCACCCACAAAAAAAGCCCCACAAATCCACAACCCAGAAAAGCCTCAAAGTCCAGTTTATTATTATTCCTGAATGTCACTCATTCCAAAGTTCGCAAGCAGTGACAAGAGAAATATTTATTAGAATATTAGTAAAAACGATCAGAAAGTAACCACATCATCCACAAATTATATAATAGGACTACACAAAATAACAGAGCAGCTCACACCTGACACAAGAAACCCTTCAGTTTGGTCTGAAAAACACTGGCAATTGGCCAATGAGCAAATAAAACCAAAACAATCATGGTAATACTTAATTTTCTCCACATACCCACTTGCCCAAATTGCACAAACTGAAAGCATACATTTCAATTCCAAGCTGGTATTCTCCCCAGTTGGTACATGTGTTCTGAGGAAAGCACATACTTCCAGATACATGCAGGCTTATGTGCCTGGTTTGTTTTTTGAGAGCACCTTTATTTTTCTCAAAATGGATGAGCTTCTGAAAATGCCGCCTCACCTACTTTATTTTTTGCCCCAGGACAAGAACATAGTTGCATACACTGACAAATATATCATGAATATAAGCAAGTATTAATTCGTGTACATGGACAGTTAATGCTATGCTCCTGGCTGGCCACCTGTACACGCAAATTCCAGATTTATGCTTGGAAGGATTTTATTCATGGGCACAAACACAGTCCATGCAAGCTGGTCAGAGCAGCCACCCATGGCCATATGTTTTATAGAGGAAAGCTGAAGATATTCTTTAGATGATGGCTAAGAGAAACTGCCGCCTTACCTCCAGACAAAACGACTTCTCTGAACCCTCCCCACATCTACCATCTCAATTTCAGGTTACATCTGCTGGCAAATTTTGGAGTTAGACCCTGCACAGAAACTCTTTTCCAAGCCTCCAAACAATTGTCTAAGCTCCTTTTCATAACTTCCTGGAAGGGCTGCATTAAAAAATGCACTCTGCACTCAGGACAATGGCAAAAAAAGTGATAGCAAAGGACTGCTCATACCTAAACCTTCCTGTCTGGGCACTGACTGCTCTGAGGTTAGATGTTTCTAATGATCCTGCCAGGCTGGATCTTGGCTGTGCAGTGATCACAAATCCAAGCGTGTGAAACACCTTGGGAATGGTAGGATGAAGCACCACAGGCTCCAAAAACCTCAGGAGAATTTCTATCTCCCTTTGTGCTGTGACAAAGCTGAGCTTAACCAGGGGTCAACCACAGTCACTGCACCAGCATGGCTATGCCTCCTCTTTCCAGGGAAGGCCAGGTTTGCTGGCAGGGCAGGAAAGCATGGTCAAGGCTGCAAAGATCTTTGTATGGGGTTGGGCACAGAACTGGGGTAACAAGAGAGAAGTCCTGCAAGTGTGGGGGAATCTAGCTGGAGATGCAAGACTTTTTCAAGAGAGTAAGGCTGTTGGAAGAATCAGCTTACTGGAGCTTGGGCTACAAGGCTGGGGGGGTTATTTTTCCCTTCTTTCATTTGAGGAAGGAGGAGTGAGGGGAAGGCAAGGTCTGGGGCAGAGTCTGGAGAGGAAATCCAGAGCATAATTCTCAAAGTAAAGACAACCTGAATGAAAACAAAGGCAATTACTACAGCTATGCTGGCAACTCTCAAATCACTCTCCCTATCCAGCTAGGCTCTCTATACTGAATCTTGTATCCTTCCATTTCCAACATGTCAATCCGGTGTTCTGCCAGCAGCTCAGCTGTACCACAGCCAAGCCCTAGTTCATTTTTCGTTGGGATGTTTTGTTCATCTTTAACATAGTGGAGAATGTGTCATGTCCTCTCATGATCTTTTCAGATGCTTCCTTCTATTCTCCTCTTACCTCAGATAGCTGTTCAGCCTTGCCTCCTCTCTCTCTACAGCTTTTTGAAATCCAGGTCGTTCTTTCTATCTATTCATAAAACTTGAGCTTTAATGCTAAATCTCTTTTGGATTTCCTGGGACACACTATAATACTATTTAGTCATTTGAAAATGCAGCTGTTGAGATGAGCTTGCTTTCTTGTTGCTCATCACTTCTTCAGACCACTTCACTGGCTCTTTTGCATCTGTAATCTGAAATCCAGCTCTTCAAAACTGTATCACAGCTTCCCTCCCACGTTTTATTTCTTGCTCATCTTCCATCAGCTCCCCTCTATCCAATGCAGCTCCGTGCTGCTCCTCATTCCGTTAAGCTAAGCACACAGAAGCAGCAAGTCTGTCCTGAAATTTCCTCCAGAAGCACTGACTTGTGCCATGGAAACACTACCCAGTTTCCCTATCCAAATCAAACAATTTGAGAGGAAACTTGAGACTTAAACTTATAGGAAGAAAATTAAGGAATAGTATCATGACACATGAATCATGTCACTACATATTACAGCAACCGTAATCCTCTCTTCCGCCTTTCTATCTCCCTGCTACTGCCAGCTAGCTAAGCTATTTCTAAAAATAGACTCCAACCTCTGAGAAGCAGTTTCTGCGTCTTAATTCCAGGTGCCCTTAGAGGTCAACAAAACAGACGCATCATCAAGAATTGCTTGTTTGCAGTAAGGTACATGGGTTGTTCCCTATCAACAGGTCCCTGGCACACCCAAGTTCCTCTGAGAAAGTTTTATTCAACAAATCTCAAGGAAGCAAATAGACCCTCTGACTAGTGACTCGGTCAGCCCTGTTGCTCCAGCCTGTCACCTTGCTTGCTGCTCTCCCAGTCCTGAGCAGATCACACTGGGTAATTTGGTGTGAGAGTACACTAACAAGTGGTGAGCCCCAGCTATCCTGCCCTTGAAGGAACACATTGTTCTGCCAAATACTCCATGGATGTGAACGCCAAGACTCCTTATGCAGTCCTGCACCCCCAACCAACAAGGACGTTCCTGCCTGAAAGGGCTGCTTCCAGACAAACAGCAGAGACGTCAAAAACAATGCTGACAAGTCCAGTTGTTTTTCTTCCCTTTTCTTAGTTATGGATAACATAGCCTTACCAAGCAACGACCCTCAGGCATGACCACCACCTACTCAATTTCAAACACAACTAAAACACTGAGAACCCTGGCATTTCATTACACCTCCTGAGGATGCTCCAGTGCTGTACGGATTTTAACAGACTTCATTTTTAAATGCTTTCATGATAATCCTTGTGTTATGTCTCTACAAAAAAAATAGAAAAAGTAGTGGGGGGCTTTTACCTGGTGCTTGTTTTTCAAAGTATCAGAAAGGACGAAACAAAAGCGCACTGGAATGAGCAATGACTTGTTCAGCGATGTGGTTGGCTAGCCAGGAGATGGCACTACATCCCCAAAGTTCACCGGCAATGCACCAACACCGAGGAAAGTATTGGTAATACTCGAGACACTGTATACATAGTAACTTAAATGAGCAATTTTATTTAAAACATTAGAAAAGGCATAGATACCAATCTCAACTTACATTTTGTATATTTATCTGCAGGGCCATTTTATAATGATTGAAGTCTTTAGCAAGTTCATATCCCTGATGATAGAAAGTGAACAAACCCTGAAAAAACGATAGCACCTGAAATACAAACAAAAGACTTGTCAGAATTAAAAACTCCATTTATTACCAGATTATGATTGCTGCATGTAGCCTTTTCTGGAAAGGTCAGAGATAACAAAATGATCACGTTTAAACAAATTTCCACTAATCCCTACAATTTATGAATAACTACCTAGATCCAAGTGATCAGCTATGTATATAGACATTTTTGGGTGGTCCTGTCTCTGGAATTTCACAACTCATCTCTGCTTTAATTTGACTACAGGCAATGTATAGTGCCTACTCCCCAGACTTTCCTATGCAACATTTTCTTACAGCTGGTCTGATACCAATGATGTCTAATAAGAAATTTGTGCACAAGGAGGAGGTAATGATCAGAAAGCCAACCGTATCCTGGGCTGTATCAAAAGGAGTGTGGCCAGCAGGTCAAGGGAAGTGATTCTGCCCCTCTACTCTGCTCTTGTGAGACTCCACCTGGAATACTGTGTTCAGCTCTGCAGTCCCCAACACAAGAAGGACATAGAGCTACCGGAATGAGTCCAGAGGAGGGCCACGAAGATGATCAGAGGGCTGGAGCACCTCTGCTATGAACACAGACTGAGAGAATTGGGGCCGTTCAGCCTGGAGAAGAGAAGGCTCCGGGGTGATCTTATGGCAGCTTTCCAGTGCCTAAAGGGGGCCTACAGGAAAGCTGGAGAGGGACTTTTTACAAGGGTGTGTAGTGATAGGACAAAGGGCAATGGATTTAAACTGAAAGAGGGCAGATTTAGGTTAGATATAAGAAAGAAATTCTTTACATTGAGGGTGGTGAGGTACTGGAACAGATTGCCCAGAGAAGTTGTGGGTACCCCATCCCTGGAGGTATTCAAGGCCAGGTTGGATGAGGCTTTGGGCAACCTGGTGTAGTGGAGGGTTTCCCTGTCCATGACAGGGGGGTTGGAACTAGATGATCTTTGAGGTCCCTTCCAACTCTAACCATTCTATGATTCTATGATTCTGTCTTTTAGTCACCATTTCCCTGGTCGTCCTGCTCCCTGCTAATGATCATGCTGAGACGACTTTCATAACTTTACCCATCACTGCTTTTTGTATGCATATCTGACACACATACAGCCCCATCAGAACCAGCAAATGATCTAAACTGCAGTTTCTGCCTTCAGTGTTCCAGTTTAAAAGAATGAATGAGTTATACTATATTGGAACCAGGGTGAGGTGCAGTACTGCCTAACTGTCCTGTTTGGTTCAGGTTGCTGGTAAGAAGTGAGTGACGCAGGAAAGAACAACTCTCTTTAATAAAGAGAGCAAACCAAAGAACATATTTAATAAAGTCTGAAGTCATACGCAAATAAACAATTTTTAAAATGCAAAACCCACATAAATTTAAAGTATCATGAAAGCACAGGGGGATAAGAATTTGGTATTATATAATTTCAGTTTACTACCCTAGAGGAAACTTCAAATACAAATTGAGTAACAAAGTTCAGCCCCATCCAGAGGGAGCTTTCAGAAAAGAGAGAGACACATGTTTCAAAAGCATAATTGGAAGATTCATTACTCCAGTCTGGCTCTGAGGACACTTCAAGAGATTTGAAACACAAGAACTGAATCCAAAACTACTTAGGATTTAAAATAAATAAATTAAAAAAAATAGAAAATTAAAAACAAACACAAAACATCAACAAAAAGGAAAATCCCACACAGTCATTTTTCACAACACTATCCCATTCCTTGAACAATGCTAATATATTTAAAGCAATTTATTCTCATTTAAGACTTTTAGAAATTTTTTCATGCTGGAATAAGCTATATTAAAACAAACACCTCTCACTAACTCCATAATGACCCACTACTTCGAGTAGGGTTGTTTGGGACTTTTTTTTCATTATTATATTAAAATAATTATATCAGAATAAAAGGACAGTCTTGGCCCAAAAACACAGACTTCAGAGCACGAGTGAATGGAAGTCACTTCTACAATCCATCTTCCCTTTATCTCAGTATTACACTTACTGTTCTCTTCTTGTTTCATAAAGCTGCATTTGTACTACAAAGCTAAAGCACATTTCCAAAGATTTTAGAATAAGCTCTTCTCAGAGATTTCCTAAGTCCAGTCAGTATATGTATGTTTTTCACTGAAATTCAGTGGCTCCCCTTGATTTCTGCACAGATTCAATTGCAATTGAAATCAAACATATCAGACTACCTGATCATGAGCTTTTTAGCCAGCAGCATCCTCTTAATTAATTTATATCTGCCCTTCTTCACTAACAGGCCTCTAAGTGCAACCTTCATATTGAAAATGAAATTCCTTACATTAGTCAGGAATAATATTCCACTCATTAAAAAAGACAAATGCAGAAAGTCTGACCCCAACATCATCACCTTGCATCTTCTATTCTAACTCGCATGAGGAATTGAGGTTTTTGCAGTACAGCACAAGTGTCCCACATTTTCTGAAAATCAGCATCACTGGATCCAAATCAACTGTAACTACCAAAGTAAGCTTTGAGTGCATCTCTACGTGGAATCTGCACACATGTAACAAGAGTACATTACATTTTATTAAGTCACACCAACGCATCCATTTTCCCAGAAAACAGAGCTCCTCGGCTTCCGTCCAATTGCATTCCCTCTCTCTCCCTTATGAGCGACAGAGTAGGCTGAATTCACTGGTACTTACAGGTTCCACACACTCAAACTTCTTCCGCTCCTGTATCTCTTGCAGTTTGCACACATACTCGAGGGATAGCTCATAGAAGTGTTTCCTGTTCTGATCCACTTGGTTATCTGCCTGCACACAGAATACAGCCAATGAAGTTTCAAAGACATTTTGCAAACAGCTTCAACATGACACACAGGTAGCATAAAAGTGGCAAGCGGCAAGATAATTTCCTCCAAACTGGGATTGATCCTTTACAACACAGCTCATTCATTTACTTTTAAATGGCAGCAGCAATTCCCTTTTACTAGATAACCTATGTTGTTTTGAATCACAAGGCTAAATTTTTAGAAACTTCAAGTTCCTTTCTAGAGAATCCAAGCCAATACATCAGAGCAGGTATCGTGCACTGCTTCAATAGCATTGAAAAGGTGCCTGCCCAAACAGAGAGACGGGGCTAGCAGAGTCTTCCATTGGAAAAGGGGGAAATCATCTCTCTGGTCAAAGTAAGGAAGAAAACCTTCTTGTTAAAAACCACATTGCTGGTACCGTAACCTTTACTCTATAAGCCACATAACTGCCATAAATAGTCAGAATGCTATTGTGCCCATCCCACACCTGTGTTCACTCTGACTGGCAAGAAAACCAATTTAAAAAAAGTTCACTTATTGGCAAGACACTTCGCAAGTTTCCAGAGAGTGTCAAATACTGAAAAATGCAGACTTAGTAGCTGCAGTTGATTTTTAGCTCAGCTTTGCTGAAATGCCAATACCATACTGATGGTGAACAGTTATATTTCAGCTGTCATTCATCTGTACATAAATATTAAACTTTCTAGCATATATGTATTATTACTAATAATACTAAGTTATTACTTACGGTACATGTGCCTTCATGAAACTATAGAACTTCAAGAACTGGGTAAGGGAAACCTTGATTAAAATACACTAAAGAAAGGCTACAAAGGGATTTCCTAAGTGATTAACACTGTCTTCACCCATGTGACAATACAAAATGCTTCTACACTAAATTACAAAAGAGAATGGAGACAGGGTTAGGCGAAAGAACCAGACTTACTATCATGCACTTTCTCTTAAATACTGAGACTATATCCTTCAGGCAGAACAGTGACTGCTATGCTTTAAGAGGATAAGTCAAATTAGCTTTAAGACAGTTTTGCCTTAAGACATGCTTTGCTTTGCTGCTCCGAACTAGAAATCCCTCAGCAGTTAAAGGGGCACAACAACAAATGCCATAAAAAAACAAAGCACGGATATGCACATCAGTATGAAAACACGTTTCAAAAAGCCGAGCCATTTCGATGCATCCTATAAACCATGCAATACAGGAATTGTCTGAGCTGTCAGCAAAGCTTCTAATGACATATACATGTACAGAGGGGTAGCCACAGAAAAAGACTACCAAGTAAGACTACTGGGACATCTGGCTAATCAACAGTAAGACTTCTCTACGTACACCAAAGCCCCACGTAAGCCTACTTCTCTCCTTCTTTGTATTCAGTTGTTTATTGTTTTGGTTTTCTCCCCACTCTCCCCCAAGAATACAATACTCAACATGGCCATTTTATTAATTCCTCTCAGTTTCCCTGTAAATAAATTGTCACGCCTCTCCTCAGTTTTTTGAGGTGTAAGCCTCCCTGTGCACCCGGCAGGTTCACTCACTGTTGCATCGTACTTTGCATACTGCCAAAGAAATACAGAAATAAGACACACACCGTGCCTCAGTGAAATTTCAGGAACATACCCCCACTAAGAGAACCAAGGACTATGTTAATGGAAGACACACTACACAACAGGGCATGTTTTTCATCAAATTTTTGTCAAATTTATACCTGCATCCTTTATTTTCTCCAGTCAGGACCTGACACAACTAGCCATATATAATACCAAATTAGGAAGCTCCTGTGCAATTATACACACTAATTATGTAAGCTTGTGCAATCAAGATTTTCCCATTTAGCACATAACTGCTGACAACATGCTGCAAGTCCTTTTTTTTTTTTAAGTGCTTATATGTATATACTCCAAAATTAAATGGACAAATGAAAGAGCTTGAAGAATTTCATAATTTTTGTTCGTGAAACTTTGAAGGACATTTAAAACCAATCTATTTGCTCATTCTAGTCTTCGCACATGCTTTAAAACTTCAGACTACATTTAATACAGCTTCAAAAAGCCTCTTGCAGGTATTTTGCATTTCTGCATTGAGGTTAGGTCTCACTTCAGACTGTGAAACATGGTTCTCGATACCATCAAGTAAGAGATCATAATTAATACTTTTTCACTTTTTCTACATCAAGTTCTTTGGCAGCTGGTCAATTTGATAAAAGTACAGGTCCTGACACATGAGCAATACCCAGTAACTTCACTGGGACAACGCAGCTCCCCAAAAGGCACTTGTTTATGCACTTGAGAGCCTATGTTGCAGAATATGGAGAAATTACATACTAGTGACACTCGAGAACAACTCAAGTTCCTAACTTGCCAGTTACACGAAACATTTTTTTATGAAAGATGGCATAGACTATTTGAGGTGGAGTAAAGAGCAGAGAAGAGTTACCTCTGAGGAAAACATTAAGTGTTTAACAATAGAAGACATTCATAGACTAAGCATTAATAATTCTGACATAATGACATTTTCTGAAAAAAAAAACCACCAAAAAAAAAATCCTTCTGCCTACAGCAAGTCTCTGCAAGATTTCTCTGCTATCTTCTCATGTACTATTTGTTGTTGCTCCACAAATAAAACTATTACAAATAAGGATGATAATAAACCCCCAGGGACAGAAGGAACGCCAAGTAAAACAGATCTGATTTGAAGTTATAAATTGTCAACAGACTTTTTGGTAGCATCACTTGAAAAAAATAGAGCTTCAAAACCTGAGAAGGGAAAAAAAACAAAAAACAAACAAACAAACAAACGCCCTCCACCAAACCACTTCTTTCAGTAATATAAGTCTTGCTGTACTTTGCATTAAGCATTAAGACAGAACATTTAGTTCATACATACAATGCAATACAAATTACTCACGTGGTAAAGTTCATTAAAAAACGCAGTTTTTCACAATATACTTGCACTTTGCACTTCCTTTAACTAAAGAACTTCAACATGATGTTCAGCACCTCATACCTACACCAAGTAAAGCCCTCGATTCAGAAGACAGTAGGGGTACACCACTAAGTTCAGCAAATACTGATTTTTCTCACCAACCTTTCCAGTTGGCAGAAATTTTCCTTTTACCGCTAGGAATGCTGGTTTTGCGTTTGCATAAAATACATTTACCTATTCAAAAGCCTGCAGCTTGCATAAAAAAAGAGAGTCAACGATACCTCTTGTAATTGCAGCTCTTTCTTCTTAGCTGATAAATTCAAATGCTTCTCTAACAAACTGTAGTTCTTCTCTGTCTCTTTATCAAACTTCTTCTTTTCCTCCTAGATGCAGAAACAAAGTAACATTCACTTATATATAAGAATGTAAGAAAAGCCTCCTTCCTTCTTCTTTTAAAATTCTACTTAACCAGAAACAAAGAGAAACAAACTATCATAGCTCAAATAACTAAGGAAAAGTATGTTTCCAACTAATTTTTTTTAATCAATTTAAAGCCTAACTTAAATGACATCCTATTGTATGATCATGGTGAGTTTATCACATGAATGCTTACATCTTGCACATTAAAAAAGCCAAAAAAAACCCCACCTCTTCTTGATTTATTGCATTTTTCATTCTTTTCAGGGATCATCCACATCACCTTCATTTTAAATAGAGGACTTCAAGGGAAATCAGTTTCACAGAAAGTTCTTTTTCTCAATAATTGACAGGGTAAAAATGTAAAAACATCATTTGAGTAAGCTGCAACAGTTTCACAGTTCAAAATCCAAAGCAGATATAGCTCCATGTTCCTTAGGATTTCTTAATTTTAAAGCCATACAAAGACCTCTGTGGTGAATTCCTGCTTCTACCAGACTGTTGTCACACTCATGGGGGGGAAAAAAAACCCAACTTTTTAAAATAAAGAAAAACCTCCATAAAACATAAAAACATGCTAGCAAAAGAGAATCTCACTGACACATACAAATATCATTTGCATGTGCGAGTACATTTCTCTATCAAAAGCAATGTATTGGAAAAGGGACAGTCATTAAATGTTTCTAGGAAATCTGAATTCTTCGATCTAATTTACTAGAGAACATTGTAAAACAATCCTTTCATTTCTTCAGTTCTAATTTCTTAACTCTGTGTGTTTCGACCGAAATCAGTATTGATGAAATCAACTAACTGGTTTTTAAGCTCTTTTTAGTATAACTAATTGCAGTTGAAAATAATCTAAAATAAGTAAAATCAAAAATTAAATTACATATTCAAGAACTGACAGATTTACTCATCAGAAAGAAACCCATTCAATTAAAATATTTTTCCATTATCTAGCAATTCGGAATTTCATTTAAATGTATTCTATCCAACATACTGGTTAGACTCTACAGACATACTTCTTTTTTTCTCTTAACCTTCCATTTTTAGGAAGTGACACTATATATGATACACGTTTTTGTTCTCTGAACGATTCTGAAGATGGCATTCTATTAAAGAGTGGATCTAAACTGTTTAGGATTACATCTCAGCAAGGAATTTTACAAAAAAAATTTCTAGCTTTTTTTTCTTCTGTTATGAGTCTAAGAACTTTGTTTAAAAAGCAGTCACAATATTCCTTACCGACTGAGAAACATTAAGATATGCATATGGTATTACTGCATGTGCTCAAAAAAATGGTTCTTAAATATATTGCAAACACTGTAAAAAGCATCATAGACCATTTTGAAGGCAGTAGTAGTCCCAGAATTCATCTCCAGACTTATTATGACAGTGTTATGGAATCTGAAGATTATTTTTTCAAAAAACAAGAGCTTCACTATATGTTTTTTTCTAGACCTGTGCCAGCATTGCAGTATTAAGTAGTTTATCTGTTCATGATATATCACACACATACATGTATGTTCGTACCGAGTTCAGGTCTGGGGTCCCCAACATAAAAAGGAAACAGAGTTGTTGGAGCAAGCCCAGAGGAGGGCCATGAAGATGATCCAAAGGCTGGAGCACCTCTCCTATGAAGACAGGCTGAGAGAGCTGGAGTTGTTCAGCTTGGAGAAGAGAAGGCTTCAGGGTGATCTTACTGCAGCCTTCCAGTACTTAAAGGGGGCCTACAGGAAAGCTGGAGACAGGCTTTTTGACAAGGGCGTGCAGTGATAGGACAAGGGGCAATGGCTCTAAATTTAAAGAGGGCAGATTTTGATTAGATCTAAAGAAGAAATTCTTCACTCAGAGGGTGGTGAGGCACTGGAACAGGTTGCCCAGAGAAGCTGTAGATGCCCCATCCCTGGAGGTGTTCAAGGTCAGACTGGATGGGGCTTTGAGCAACCTGATCTAGTGGCAGGTTTCCCTGCCCATGGCAGGGGGGTTGGAACTAGGTGATCTTCAAAGTCCCTTCCAACCCCAACCATTCTATGATTAGAAATAATGTATTAGCATATAGGAAATTAGGAAGAAAGTAGGGTTGGGGAGGGGAATCTTCATGTTTATATTTGCAAAATTTCCATTGATCTGGTCAACATTTAAGTGCTGCCAGAAAAACAAAGAGCTATTGACTTCTAAACAGACAAAGTCAGAAACTTTTCACATGTAGTTTGGGATTAGAGCAGCAACATCTTTTACTACAGGATAATTCAATACGGGTCTCAGCTTCTAGCACTACGGAGATAAATTTCTTCCTTTTCTTTTTCTTCTTAAGCCTAACTGAGACCATTTCATCAGCATAAAGTGTAAGATACAGGAAAGTCTGAGGCAGCAGATTCAACTTTTATTTTGTAATGGTAGAGCATAAAATTTTCCTAAAGCAAATACTACACAATGTCCCAGATATATTTCACTACTAGATGCCATAGCTCGGTTTTCAGAGCTAAGTAGGATTATGTTTCCAGTGTCAGTACTTTGCTTAGATTGAAGAAATATTCAGTTCAGAATATTCAAAGAGTTAAATATTTTTAGAGGATCTTTATTTAAATGTTACACAATTATGCAAGACTGTTCTATTTAAGGTCACTGAGAATTCTGTCCAAAAGAAATGGCTGAATCACAAACAAGAGCTTCAGCTTCATAGAAACAGTGTGCAGGGAGACACAAGGGGAGAAACATCTACCCCCCAAAAATGTGAGATGTAGACTGTGTGAACACGACTTGTCATGTTAGAAACATCAGAGACAGAATTCTGATTACTAAATGACTGAAGATCATAAGATGACAAAGTATTAAGAGCTCTCACCCCCAAAATAGTAATGTTCTTTAACACCAAAAATACTGTCAAAATAATCCATTCATTACAGCTGCTTCTACAACAATAGGTTACATTTAGAAGAAATTCTCTTTTCCTTAGAAGACTCTCTATATTACAGGCCAAGTTTTTATTGTATGTTGGTTGGGATGCCTGATGTACTTCTCAGAAGCTCGTAAAATTACACAAAGTCCATTGTACTATTGAACTGTAATGATTTATGATCAACAGAGCATTTTCCATTCATGAAGACTGAAATCTTATTCAGAACATGTTAATCATTAAAATCAAAATGTGCAGTGTTCTCATAATTGAAACATTACCTTAGCTGTTAAATATTACTGCTGATGAAGTCATGAAACTATAAAATAAAACATCTGCAGAGTGGTAGTTTAAAAATGTATTAACTGAGTTTTGCAACAGAAAACTGTGTTAAATAGCTGGTTTTCTTTTTTTTTTTTTAATAAGCATTTTAATTTCTCACTAGAAGGAAGGTGAACAAGTACAAAGAGGTAAAACTTGTCCTTGTTGCTTTTATCCAAAGCTACTCTGTATGTAATATATGAAGTTTACTTTGCCTTTTTTCTTTTTTAACATACACAACATACTGACAATCTTTAAAAAAAATTACTGAATGCTTTCAGAAAAAAAAAAAATACCCCAAGACACACTTTGAATGGGATCTTGTCTTTAGCCTCTCCAACTTTATTTTATTCCACTCATACAGAGGTAATGAGTTAATTATTTAAAGCAAAAAGTAAAACGAAGACAATTTTCACTGTGCAGATTGTAAAACTACGGTTAAAAGCATATAGATGAGGTATTTTGGGTAGTTAATATTTTTCAGCCTTCGATTGTGCAACTGCAAGCAAATACAAAGCAGAACAGGGCCACCCATCAGGAAAGCGGGCAGGCTGTTAGCAGGATTGCTCCTATTCCAGACACAAGAGATAAGAGAGGGGAGGAGAAAAGGAAGGGAAAGGACACATTCTTCTCGTCTTGAAGCATACTTTCCATTTGTTTCTTAAGCAAGATCTCAACGCAGGGGAAAAAAAGTGTGAATACACGAAATACAAAAAACTGTATCTCTCTGTCAAATACATGTCATTACTGCAATGCGATCTAAGTAGAGAAATTAAACAAACTTAGCATAAAGGCAATGAAGGACAAACCTTTACAGCTCCTAGCTGCTCTTTCCTAAATCTTTCCAAAGGTTTGATCAGAGTTTCAGTAACACTGAGTGCCTACAGGAAAAAAAAAAAAAAAAAAGCATGGGTTAGGTTTCTGTAGCTGGACTGACAATTCACTTTAGCCACCAGCAATAAAAAGAAAAAAGCAAGCAAGCTCTAGGGTAAAATAAAGAAGCAGCATGCAAGTTAGGAGTCTTAAGTCCTAACCCAAAAAAATCACATCTCTGAGTTCATTCAATCTTTTGACATTTCTATCCCCTATTTCAATCCACTGTTGGGAAAATTAAATCTAAAATGAATGTGGAAATTTCAGAAATTTACAGGTGGCAGCCAAACTGCAACTGCTCTACTTGTGCCAGATCAGGTTGACAGTCCCAATGACAGAACACCAGAACGAGACACAGGACAAAATTTTCATTTGGGGAAACAAAAATTTCTGCAACAAGAAACATTACAAACAACTCCAGAATGGACTACCGAGCAAATAATAAGCTTTTAACACACAGCTAAAGCCATTGGGCATTGATACATAGATTTCCAAATATTTATATTTAAATACGTTAAGAAAAAACTGAAGTTAACCTAAGTTGCAAAATCAAGAGGTGTAAAGTTAAGCAACAAGAGGTTTAGTTGACTGGGTGAGCAGCCACCAGTGCACTTCCAATAGTAAGCCCCATAGCTGTACTAAAGAGAAACAAAAAGGACACAATATTCCATTATAAGACTGAAAACTGCAGCTTATTAGATCTGGCCAGCAAACACAGTTTCTAGTTCACACAAAATTATACTGGAGACAGAGCGGAGTTGGGTTTGGTTTTGGTGCAAACAAGACTTAAAATTTAGAAAACGTTTGAAATCACAGCAAAGGTTGGAACTTTGTGAATACAACGGTGGCACGGAAAAGATGGCAAGAGCATCGGAGGTGTGAAGGAGGAGGTGGGATCCTTTCGGTCTCAGTCCAGACCCACAGAGTAAATCATGCCCACGACTGGGCTTATCACAGCCTTGGGGCTGCACTGCCAGGAGTCCAGGCAGAGCTCCTTGGAAGCCCACCTTAGATACACAACAGAAGGCTTTGTCTCTCTTCCCCTCGCCTCGTCATTCCCCTTCAAATGAGAAAAGTTTCAGATAAAACATTGCAGGCTTAAAACAGCCTTCTGGAACACTTCTGAGAAACCATTATCATAAAACACACAAGGGATGTATTAGAGATCTGGCACAACAGAAACATGACTAGCACTGTCTGCTCCCACCCACCCCCGGAGCCAGGCAGGGATTACCACCGGAGTCCTCCTGCCAACTCACTGTAACCAGAGCAACTCAGATTTTTGAGCAGCCACGGCAGCGTGCTAACCTATGTGGCTAACTGGAAACCCAGATATCCATCAAGTCTGGGCCAACCTGCATGTTGCACAGTCATCCATACAACAGACACTTCCTAACTTAAGAGCACTTGTTCTCGTGGCCCAAACTTTTTCCTTCTGCATCCATTTCCTGATTTTGTCAAAAATACTTAAAGCACCCTTCAGTGTACCCTTGGTGGAAGCAAAAGAAAAAGGAAACCTGACAATTTTGTCTTTCAAAACGTACAGCAGCACCAGGCTAACCACGACACAGGAGACCCTTTGCATGGAACTGGGAAGGGTGGGGGAAGCACAACAGAGCAACTTATGCCACGTCTCCAGCCCAGCAAAGAGATATCCTGAAGAGTCCATCCCAAGGCTTTGAGAATGCTCTTGGTAGCTAGAGAACCAGTTGTTCCCTGAGCTACCACCACTCCTAACAAAAGAGAGCCAAATGTCCCAAACAGGAGCTGAACCATGGTTCCAGGAAGGATTTAGCCCACCTGGCAGCCTGTACACATGTATCCTAACTTCTCAAGCAGTTACCAGGAGTCTCTAAGACAGTCTTTAGGATACTCAGGTTTTTCAAGTTTTGTCAGGCTCCCAAAACTTTCTGCAAATTCTTAGGGGCTGAAAGGAAAACATAATTTGGATTTGTAATTGGATTAAGCACCAGAAAAAGTTTCCTGGGATGCAGCAGAAGTGCCTGAGGACTGAAGGATCTCTCCTTGCTGACCACAAGGATTCTCACAAGTCAAACTGCAGAACTACTCACAGAAATCACAGAATAATCCTTCTGTATCGGAAAACTTTAAGAAGTTTAAATTGTTTCTGCCAGTTTCCTCCGTACTGACAAAGTGAGGGAGAAAGTTATGAGGCCTCCTCAGAGCAAAACTCAGAGAGGATAACACTAGCTGCCAGGAGCTAAAAACACCACAGCTCCTGTAATAATTTAAAAGCATTTAAAGGTAGCAACTGAGCACTTAAATGGCCAGAAGGTTAAAAATAAATATCTAAGGACAAGTTGTTTATTAGTTGTTTGAATTTTTGCACAAATAAAGGGAAATGTAAGATCAACAGGCAGTGAATGTATGCTGAACACAAAGTCCAAGTCAAAGAAAACCAGAGCACCTTGATGTAACAGAAAGAAAAAAAAAAAAGAAAAAAAAAAAAAAGGCTGTGGTTTATAAACCAGCAGGGCTGGCTGCAAATCACTTGGTCTGCTACACTCCTGTGCACCATTAACCATGGGAACCACTACAGGAATTTGTTTGAAGCAGAAAATAATCTTTAAATCAAAATGGGATGTTCCCTCAGCCACTGCCAATGAACAGATTCCACTGCTGCCAGTGGTATGATATGCCAGTAACTCTTTCATTAAAAGAAAAACAAGCCTCCACTCCTTTCAAAACAGGCATTTCTCACTTTGCACAGCTTAAACTCATGTTAACAGATGCCTCTCCAGCAGAATTTTGCCCGCCATACTGGTATTCATGATTTCTCAGCCCCTTTGCTCTCTGTGTCCGGGTTAAACAATGTGGCTCTTGAGTATTTCTTGGTGAAGTGGGATTTTGTAGATCTGTGGTCATTCTCATGGAGCTTCATATCAGGCCCATATATAAAAACATAAGAAGAATATTTCCTCCTCACTGAAATGAGGATGCATGGCAGTTTATACACATATAAACAGAAACGTCAACCAAGATGTGACTGGTAAATTTAACAGTGAATTACAGAGCTGCTGTTCTGACTGGCAGAAATAAAAAACAAGTCCATAATTAAAATATACACAATATTAGATTAAATAGGGAGGCATTTGCTCTGTTTTCCAGTACTTAGAATCTAGTGCTTGCTGTGAAAAACTACAAAAGATGTTTTCTTATTTATAGAAGAAAAATATTATTTACACAGCTATTTGTTGTTAATGTAGTTTACCTATAACTTGGGAACTCAAAACAATACTTTTTTTCCTCCTTTTTTTTTTTAACCCATGGATAACAACAGAGCGGTAGATAAAAAGGTAAAATTCTCTCCATACAAGGAAATAAGCTAAGGATCACTTTAATATTTGCCATTAGTACTTGCACTTTCCTTAAGAAGTAGGACCATGTTAAAACGTAAAATTTCCAAGAAAAGTTATATTAAGCATTTAAGTTAAATATTAATTAAAATAAAATTACATGTCCCTTCCTCTTTCAACTGGTCTCTTGACTCTTAAATTAATTTTCATCCCTCTACTCCTCTAATCCTGGCAGATTATAATGATAGGAATGTACTACTTAAAGGGCACAAAAAATTATTTTATTTTCTTTATATCTCTGGCCTATCCAAACCCACCTGAAAATAATATATAATTAATTTTAAAATCTGGCAGGCACACTATGGCAAGTGTAAGGCATAAGTGAATCAATATAAAGACGTCACGTCTCAGGTAACAGTATCTTAACCAGCTTTACGAATGTCAAAGTCTCCGGAACGCTTTAAGAAATGTTTAACCTGATGTACACACATGCCTCGGGCAGACATTCTGAAACTGCCTATGTTATTCCTGTTCTCTTTGCTGCGCCCATGGAAAGGCCGAAGAATTAACTTAACTTGAACATAAACCTGGCAATAGCAGCAATAAAATGGTCATTGCCATCATCACCTCAGAAGATCATGGTGTATACCTTCAGCTTTGTGTATACCTCCTGATTTCAGATGCCTTTACAAAACTCCACTCGCTCGGGCAGAGAAGTTGTAGAGAATGGTGACAATCCTGACTTTTCCAGCTTCGTATTCTTCAAAACAATTAAGTAACTGGTCATAGATTAAGGGGCCCAAACCAACATTTCCTAGAGCAGTCCACAAAGGCACAGACTAAATTAATTTAGCAAGTGTGTTTACAGCTGTTTGCTACTTCATCAACACAATCCAACAGGTAACTTATCAGCCAGTGCCACTCCACAAGATGACTCCATTTAGCCTGTCAATTCTTTCCTTCTCTGAGATGGTGGGATTAGGGAGAAGCTGCTTCCCCAAACACCTCCTGCTATGCACTGTAGCCTGGCAGACAGCACCATCCACCAGCATTCAATGCTCCTCACGCTTTGTCAGGCTCCTGCAGTAGGCAGAAGCAGTCTCTCAAAGTTCCCGCTCCCATTGCAGGGACAACCACGCTCATCTTGCAGAGAAGGAAGGCTGCTTGTGTGGGCTGTAAAGGAGTATCAAACTCACAAGAGCTGTCCCAGAAGCTCGATCCAGCCCTTGTGGCTAAAACAGCTAGATCAACCTAAGTTAATCAAAATTCATTCTGTTTATTAGACAATTGCAGCAGTGGCCTCCGAGCTTTCATTCTGAAAACATCCTTAGACCTCAGCCTTTACTGGAAGAACTGGAAATTACACATTGCTCATCAACTCTGGCGTCAAGGCAAATGCATACACTGACTCTGCTCCATTCTGAACCTAAGTATTCTTCCACACACGACAGGTTTACTGAGAAATGAAGAAAAAAAAAAAAAAGAAGCCATAAACATACACCTTGCAGCAGACTGCACAGCGACACAGCAGTGCCAATTCTCATCCTAGGAACCGGAATGCAGATTAGATGCCAAACAGACAGAGGGGTTTAAGTTTCCCAGTGCACCGACTGGAAAAATTTATTTGTAGACAGGGGCAGGATTGTTTCTCCCCTCAACAAAGCAAGAGGGAGGCCACCAGACAGTAGGGC